AAATTTTGGAAATAAATTAATTTCAAAATTGAGATTGGGAGGGCTTGGGGCAGTGATTGATGGAGAGAAATTTTGAAAAATAAATATTTTGGTTAAAGGTAGCATGGGTATTTAGACATTCTAGTGACTCTTGTTAGAGGATTCTTACACAGGGGTCTACTTGAAACTATGCCAGAAAGTTCATGTGAGGTGATTTCAATTACTGAACTTTAAGGGGGGGTTTCAATTACCCTTTTAAGAGAATGGCTTTGAGTAGTCTTCTTCTTCTTCCCTTTTTTCAAAAGAAGATTAACATGTAACATCCATAAAACATAAATAAAAGGTCATGTGACATAGCAAGCCAAGGTTTTTAAAGCCGAACTGAACAATCACCTGATTGATTTTCGATTTTTTCTGATCCGACCTTCCGATCCGATCTGGTTTTTGAAAATCATGTAGCAAGCATTTATGTCTTCCTCCCAACACTAATTGTATGAAAATATTTTAAATCATACCTAATAACAACATAAGTTGGTATATTAATTGAACCCTCTTGGAACATAATCACCCAAGCAAAATTAAAAGCAATCAACTATACTCCTGCAACTTGCAATTACGGTATGAAGGCACCGAGGCACCGAGGTGGTTTGCTGATCCACTGATAGGACTTTAGGAGCCATGTAGCATTTTTTACATCGTCTTTCATTATAATCTTAGACTATTGCCACTAATTCTGAACAGTATATTGTTGTTTTTTTTTATTGTCCCTCTCTAACTTTCAAAAAAATGCCAAAGAATAATAATATATTTTAAAAAAGATAGATTATGATGTTTTTTATCCTTCTCCACCCAAAAGCTCGACTAGTCAACCAACATGTAATGAGGATAGGCTTAGCTCTCATTTTCACACGCAATCAGAACCATATCGCTTTCTCCTACCTATTGGAGGACACGCATCTTATCACCTGATTTTTAGACTGTCAATTTCTAAATCCTAAATCCTGAAATTTAAATTCTGAACCCTTGAATTCAAAACCTTAAACCCCTAAATCCTGCTTCCAAATCTTAAACCTTAAAATTTAAATTCTAAACCTTTAAGCCCCTAAACCCTACCCTTGAATTTTAAACCTTAAAATCTAAACTCTATCCTTAAATCTTAAATTTAAACCTTGAACTCTAAATCCTTAAACTCTAAACCTTATACCTCTAAATCATAAAATCAGTATGTAAAATGAATGTGATATGATGCATGTCCCCATTGTGGTAGGGGCCAAATATTTTCCAATCATTTTCACTGGCCCTCAAGGCTTCTTTCAACACGTGACTAGCCTCTTTGAATATTTGTTTAATAACAAACATATGCAGTGGTGAGATGCCTGGTGGGTGAGCTAATATAGCTATTACAAGTCACAATCCCGTAAAATGCTGGGTACAGTGGTGAGCTCTTCGGGGTTGTCATATGGTGGTCAGTCTGGCTAAGAGGCGAGCTGCCCGTAAGTGGCGAGTTGCCTGGTGGTGAGCTGCTTGGTGGCGAACTGCCTAGTGGTGAGTTGCCTGTGCAGTGCCTCATGGTGGCGAGCTGCCTGTAATGAGCAGCCTATGGCAAGCAGCCTGTGCAGTGCCGAGTTGTCTAAGTTGCCACTTGCCAAGCTACACGATGGCGAGTTGCCTAGTTGTCAAGAGGCTGCATCTAGTTTCCATAAGGCACAAGGTGTCACAGTGTCACTGGAGGGCCAAATCCGCCCTCATCATTTGCCCCCCACTCTCGAGATGAAAGTAATTCGGCAAAGGGAGTAGATTTCTCCTTTTGGCCCGTAATTCGACAAGCCCGTAAGCGCTGATTCAGTTCCTTAGGCTCTGGGAGCGACTTATAGTCCACTCTTGTTGATTTTGTCCATGCCGAAGAGGTGACTGGGTCTTAAGTGCCCATGCCGAGGAGGCGACTAGGACTTGTGAAGTGTCAAGCTGCCTATGAGGTGCCGGGCTGACCAGGTGCTGAGCTGCCTGTGAGGTGTCGGGCTGACCAGGTGTCGAGCTGCTTGTGAGGTGTCGGGCTACCTGTGAGGTGTCAAGCTGACTAGGTGCCGAACTGCATGTGAGGTGCCGGGCTAACTAGGTGTTGGGCTGCCTGTGAGGTGTCGAACTGCCTGTGAGGTGTTGGGCTGACCAAGCGTCGGGCTGCCTATGAGGTGCTAGGCTGACCAGGTGTCGAACTGCCTGTGAGGTGCTGGGCTGATAAGGCGCCGAGGTCTCTGCCAGTTCGGTACTTTAGCCCTTAGGTTCTGGGAGCGACTTGTAATCCACTCTCCTTAACTTTGCCCATGCCAACGAGGCGGCTGGTTCTTGTGCACTATTGTGGCCCTTAGGCTTTGGAAGCGACTCATAGTCCACTCCTAAACTTTGCCCATGCCGAAGAGGCAACTGGGTCTTAAGCAGTATCGTGGCCCTTAGGCTTTGGAAGCGACTCATAGTCCACTCTTAAACTTTGCCCATGCCGAAGAGGCAACTGGGTCTTAAGCAGTATCGTGGCCCTTAGGCTTTGGAAGCAACTCATAGTCCACTCCTGAACTTTGCCCATGCCGAAGAGGCAACTGGGCCTTAAGCGATGAGGAAGTCTTTTATTAGTTCGTCAGTTCGCGCCTGGGCCAGTACGCCAGGTTGGCACCCGTGCCAAGTCGGTGCATGTGCTAGGCCGCCTGGTGGGCGCCTTAGAGCTATGATTGTGCTGCATCCGCCTCGTAATGCGAGAGCTTCAGTTTCTTTGAGTTCATAAAAAAATGGAAACTATAAAGCGAGAGCTTCAGTAAAAAGTGAGGGCTTAGCTTTTTGGGAGAAGAGGACTTAGCCTTTTGTAGGATGAGAGCTTAGCTTTTTGTAGCGTTATCCCACAAACGACGCCAATTGATGTAACCGTTTTTGGTCACGTATCATTTTTTCTTGGTTAAGTACCTCGTCATCCCGTCTACTCCCATGTGGCCGATGACTCAGAGGTTGAAGTGGAGCTCCCTGCTGTAGTGCAGCCTGGCTGCTCCTTGCAGGATATGATCTACTCATCTTTGTAAACGGCGGGAACTGGTTGCTTGCAAGGACTGAGTCAGAGGACTAGGGGTGCAAGGACCAGTTACCAATGGGAACTGGTTGCCTACAAGGTGATCTAGCTACCAACAACGACGGGAACTGAACCGACTACTTCCTGTTGGAGATGATTTGCTCCTCTTTGTAGACGGCAGAAACTGAGGGACCTGCATGAATTGAATCAGAGAACTCGGGGGTGTTTACCCGGCGAGGTCGCTCCAATGGCTAAATCAACACTCAGTAGTGAGCTAAGAATGATATTAGAGAATGAGAGAGCTAGAGAGTAGGGGCTACAATCTCCCCTTTTTTGCCTCTTTTCGCATACCTTTTCCCTTGAGGGGTGAGATCTTTATATACTGGAGTCCTCGTGGGTTTGGTGGAACAGTTCCTGGATTCCCGCTGTGATGGGACCTGCTTTCGCGTTAGGTGGGCATAAAGACACGAACCAGTAAGGTTGCCCATTTCCGCCTAAATCGGTGAGTGGGTGAGTTAATATAGCCATTACAAGTCACAATCCCGTAAAATGCGGGGTACGGTGGTGAGCTCCTCGGGATTGTCATACGGTGGTCGGTTTGACTAGGAGGCGAGCTGCCTAGTGGCGAGCTGCCTATGGCTGCTGCCTGTGCAGTGCCGAATTGTCTAAGTTGCCAGGCTACACAATGGTGAACTACCCGTGGCAAACTGCCTGTAAGTGACGAGCTACCTAGTTGTCAAGAGACTGCATCTAGTTGCCATAAAATGCGAATTGTCACAATGTCACTGGAGGGTCAAACCAAAAGAAATTACATAATCTACAAGTCTCCATAAGTCAAGTGCACGTAGACAATTGACATACGAAGGAAGATGCAACATATGTAGACAAAAGTTTTTGAAGGACTTACATCAAGATTCGTAAGTTTTTAAATGCAAGTCAGTCGTCCATTGCTTCACACAAAGTTGTTGAAAGCAGGGGACCTTCGCTAGTGGAATAAAATCGGGAAAGATACTATTTTCATCTATCTCATTGGCAACAAGCTTAGGATCCTCTATAAGAGGATTCGCAACTATGTCGTCACACATCTGCATTAACAAGCCCTCAGCAACAAGCCTAACATCAAGACTATCAAGTTTTGCAACGATGACGAAAACTCTTTTTTCCAAGCATTTTCCAAACAAAAAAGCTCATATCTTTCATCATCCGTCAATCTGAACTTACAAAAATGTTTTTTGTTTTATAGGAGATGCACATATATACATATTTATATAAAGAGAGAAGTCAAATATAGAGTGAGAGAAGAGGGAGTAGGAGAAAATATCAGAGGAAGACTTACCCTGCCAATTTCTAGGTCTGAGTGTGTTGGGAGGAAGATGACAATGAACAGTAACTTCGGCCATCTCATATTTAAAAGAGCAATTTGGTCAAAGAAAATGATTTTTTCCCGCTCACCGTTTTATCATTATTTTTAAAACAATACTGATTTTGTCATATGACCAAACTTGGTCATTTAATTTGTAAAAAATCACTGATTTTTGAAAAGTTAAGAAGGAATAGTCATCGTCATGCCAAACATAACCTAAATCATTTCTTATTTCTTATTAATTTTAAGAAAATCATTTCTTATTACTTTTTGGTCTACTCCATCCTTCTAAGTTCTAGCCCCTTTCAACTTGCCGATCACTTCTTATAGGCGCTCTCGATGATTTTTTATATAAAAAATATATCAATTGAAATACTCCATGAGGATTAAAAAACTCTTCTGCTGAGTTTCGAGGAAACCGAGGGTTTTATACACAGATTTGAGAATTTCGCTGACGTGGCAAATTTATAACTGTCCAATAAAATATATTTCAACTCTCTCCTATGATCTGCACAACATCCCACTCCCTTTCAATGGGGCCTACGGGCGAAAAAAAAAACATGGAGTTGCACAAACTTATTCATCGTAATTCGTAAAGGAGAACTATAAGACCAAAATATTTTTTTCCCGTTTTAGGTGAGCCAAGGCATCTGATCCCAGATTCCACCGATTCGGCGACCCCCCCTCCTCTCTCTCGTTCTCTTTCTATCAACTCTTTATTTTTTTTTTCTTTATTTTTCTTTTGCACAGAAGGAACATATATTTATTATATTCTTTTCTTTGGTAAGAAACATATTTATATATCCTCTCCCTTTCTTCCCAGAAACTATTGTATCCTCACCCCGTGTTTTCGACCGTGTCTGATTTCTCATTTCTCTGTAGTCTGTACCAATCCGTTTCTTTAGTTTTCTCGAAAGCGGCGTTTGATCGTGTTTCTAGGGTTAGGGTTTTATTTTTCTTTCGATCCTTTTTTTTTTGTTATTGTAATTATTTTATTCTTTCGTGCCTGGGGATCGAACCTCCCGTTGCAGGGAGGGGGAAATTATGGGTAGCGATGGAGATTCCGGTGATGCGGCCGATTCGGGTGTTGGCGGTGGAGTTAACGTTAACATACGATGCTCCAACGGCTCGAAGTTCTCGGTGCAGGTTAACCTTGAATCGACGGTTGGGGCATTTAAAACTGTTCTCGCGCAGAATTGCGATATCCCTGCTGAGCAGCAGCGGTTGATTTACAAGGGTCGGATCTTGAAAGACGATCAAACCCTAGAAAGCTACGGTATGTTTCTTCATATGATCATTCTCTTACTTCTTCATTTTTTTACCCTATGATTAGGTATTATGTCTTTAATGTCGTTACTGTTTTAAACGTTGGTATTGAATTCGTGTAGGGTTTCATTTTTTTGGTAGCATCTGGTTTTCTGTCAGATTGGTAATCGTATATTACATATTCCTTTTTCTATTCAATTTTCTTTTGCTTTCGTTTCTGATAGTTAGATGGAATAACGAAGAAACCCTAAAATGTTAAATGCTTTGACACGTTCTTATTCATCTACTGTGTCTTAAATCCAGTTGTTTCAAAAATTCAACTTGTTTATTTCTCTTTCGAGAAGGACCGTTTCCCTTCTCATTTTTCTACTTGATCAATAGAGGGAGAGGTTTTTGCTTTGCTAAGAAGCAAGCAGGAAGGGAAGGAGAAAGGGGGAGAGATATAGAAAGAGTTAGGTTTATGTTTAATAAGGAGTCTAAGGAGGAAGGGTGTTAGAACCTTGTTGAACACAGGCAATGTTAGAACCTCACTGTATGTATTATCTTTCACCCTTTCTTTGGTTGAAGGCTAAGTAGTATATGTGAGGGAATCTCCTTCTGCACAGGTTGCTGTTCAAGTTCGATTGCTATTCATAATCTCTCTTCAGTTCAGGTCTATAGTCCTTTGGTTTTGAGTCATGAATCTAATTGTGAAGACGTGATTTCTATGCCGTGTTTAACTCTCTGACTGTCCTTACACGGTTCCATTGTATTGTAACTTTTATAGTGATTAGTGACCAAAATAAGGTATTCTGATCTTTTGATATTTGTGAAAGAATGGTGGAGCTTATTATAGGTGCAGGGTTTTAAGCCCAACAATTCCGTGGAGGAGCAATTTTTTTGGCAGATACGATATTTTGTCAAATGAGACTATAGTGCTCATCTTTGTGGCTTACTCTAAGCTCAAGGGAATTTGGTTATAGTTTACTTTGTAGTGTTGTTAATCAATCCTTGATGGACATTCTGTGGTTGAAATAGATGTTTTGGGGCTGGCTGCCTTTGGAAACAAAGGAAAAGTATTTTTTTTTCTAAAATTAATCCTTGGGTCTGTTACTGATTAAAATAAAATAAAAAAACACAAGGCCCCAATTTAGGCTTTGTGTTTTGGGCTTAAAGTGTTTTGACTTTGGATTATGTCTTTAAAAGAAACATTTATAATCACTTAAAACATTTTCTGTCACATTTTTGTTCACCACAGCCTAAAGCTCAAGAACAGAAGCTTAACCAAACATAGCCTTAGTTCTAGTAAGTGGTAACTCCAACTTCTGCCATCAGCAAGGCTATTGGCAGATCTAGGGAGTTGGGATCCAATTGAATGAGCAGTTCATGTTGAATATCAATGGTCCTTTTTAATTGCATAAGGTCCTATTAACCATAAGATCCAGATGAGAACCAAGGTTCTTTGTTTGGTCTGCTGCCTTGGGTAAATGTTTTGACTTGTGGCATGCTTATAAATCAGGCCGGTTGTGTTATTTGTGTTGCTGAGTTAGAGATAGCCAATCACTTTTCTTCTGCACTGTCAATTTGCAAATAAGGTGTGGACTGTAGTTCTTGAGTCTTTTTGGCTGGATTGGCTGCTTCCTGCTCTCTATCCTCTACTTTCTTGAAATGAGAAAAATGGTTGTTCGTTTCCTCTTATCTCTTATCTCTTAAAGTGCAATCATACAACTTTTTGTTTTCCAATGATGCCCCCAAAAAGACAAACAAAAACTCTCATATATGGGGTCAAAACGGATATTTGATAATTTTCGGAATTCAGAATTTAGAATTCAGAACAACATTCTTTGCATTCAGAGTTTAGAAGAAAGAAAAGTTCACCAATACCAATATACCTTTTAATGTAATTATTGCACTTTCAGATGTCAGACTTCAGAGCAAACGAACAGGCCCTAAGAGAGGTAAAATCTTTTGGGGCCTAATTCCAATGGCTGTCTTTTGGTGCATCTGGAGAGAAAGAAATGCTTGAATCTTCAAGAATGAGATCTTGGATGAGTAGACTGTATTGTGCAATATCAAGGAATGCTTTGCTCTTGGATGTCAATTCATAGGGATCTAAAGGGCTGGGCTATTGCAGATTTTTTACAATGACATTTTGTTTTTTTGTTAATATCTTTGCTAACAAGCTGTATGACACACACACACACACACACACACACACACACACACACATATATATATATATATATATATATATATAGAGTCTAACTGCTATTAATACAATTCAATACAACACCTTTTACAAAAAAAATTAATCTTTCAAAAGCAACCTTTCTGCTTGCCAGGATCTTTGAATGTAGTGAAATTGTTTGTACTCCATGCTGAAATGTTTGTTTTGCAGTTTTATCCATCTAATTGAATCTGTTTACTACTTTTGAGTGTTGATATAAATTTGTTAAACTAACATTTGTTGAAAACAATAAAATAATTATTTTTAATGGGAATATTATTGATTTAAAATGTAACTCATCAGATCCATATTAATGAGGGTTTGGCAAAAGTTTTAGTGCTGGCTGCCAACCTGACACAACCCTCCTCTTTTGTCCAAGCTTGGGACCAGCAGTGTAAGGCAAACTCACATTGGTGGGGTTTGATTAAATATGTAACTAATGTTTATTTATAAAAGAAAGAAAGTAAATAGCTTTTATTGTAATGACCATAGTTGATGATAATGGTATATGAACACGTGAAAATGTCAACTGGTGCAGTTGGTAAGGTTTACGGCTTGTAGTGGAGACTTGGGATTGAATCCTGCCTTCACCAGGGTTGGGGGTTTGGGCTACCCCCTGTTATGTAGCCCCATAAATAAAAAAGTGTATAATTTAACTCCATATTTTTTACTGTAATCGAATTTATAATAGCATATGAAGAGATGAAATCATTTCACTTTACCTTGACAGATGTACTGAAATTATAAACTGAAGTTTATTTCACTCTATATATAAACTGTATATAAACAAATGAGTGTATATAAGCATAGAGCAAAAATTAAAGAATAATGAGGATGAGATAGCAAAGAGAACAAACCTTTGTCAAAATATAAATTAAAATGAACGGTTCAACTGTTTAGTCTGATCTGGGTCTGACTATATTAGAATTATTTCTCTTTCGTTATTGCTGTTCTTGGTGTTGCTTTTGTTAAGTGGCTCGCCTGTTTTTGGTATGGTGAGGGGTGGTGTAGTGGACAATAAATTCTTAAGGAGACCGGACAAGAGGGTGTTGATCAGATTGGACTTGGAGATACCCAATGAGGATTCATTGGTGATATTGCGTAGAGAAGTCTGAATTTTATAGGAGTGATATTTTTGAGAGCCAATGTTTTGGTTAATGGCATGGTTATTTAGAGGGTTCTTGTAGTTGTATACTTGAATGACATCAAATCTATGTGTAATCTGGTACTTTGACAGGTTTGCAGGCGGAACACACTGTTCACATGGTTCGTGGTTTTGCCCCATCTGCATCAACCAACACTGCTGCTGCCTCCAATGTTGGAGGTCCAAACACCACCACTGGTGTCACTAGGGGTGTTAGTTCCACTGAAGGTGGTGGCTTTGGGGGAGTTGGTCTTGGAACATCACTATTTCCTGGATTTGGTATCAATGGACTGGGTGGCAGTGGGGCATCTGGTTTATTTGGAGCTGGACTTCCTGAATTTGAACAAGTACAACAGCAGCTGACACAGAACCCAAACATGATGAGGGAAATAATGAACATGCCTGTAATTCAGAACCTAATGAATAACCCTGACCTGATGCGCAACTTGATTATGAGCAATCCTCAAATGCGTGATATAATTGATCGTAATCCTGATCTTGCTCACATACTTAATGATCCCAGCACACTAAGGCAGACATTAGAAGCTGCAAGGAACCCTGAACTCATGCGGGAGATGATGCGGAACACTGACAGGGCAATGAGCAATATTGAATCTTCTCCAGAAGGTTTCAATATGCTTAGGCGCATGTATGAAACAGTTCAGGAACCATTTTTGAATGCAACAACCATGGCTGGAGATAATGGAAATGATCTGGGGTCAAACCCGTTTGCAGCACTTCTAGGGAACCAAGGTGCTGGCCATGCTAGAGATCGATTGGCCAACCCTTCAACCACTGGTTCTGAAACAACCACTGGGTCTCCTGCACCAAATACTAATCCACTACCTAACCCATGGAACAGCACTGGTGGTAAGCTTCAATATTTTGTATGCTATATTTACAATAGCTCTGGATCTGATGTTCTTTCTCTCTCCAAATTTATTGGCAGATTTTTTTTTAATTGAAAGAATGCTATTTAAACAAAAAAAAAAACGCTAATCCTGGAGCACCTAGCTCTTGGGAAGCTGGAAATCATCTTGTGAAGGGGTGACAAAATCCTGATACTGATAGAACCTTGAGCAATAGGCATTATGAATAATGAACCCATAATATCTATGACTTGTGGATATATTCAATTGAATGGTCCTCTCTAGTCTCATCTTAACAGGTTGTCTATTTCCCTGTTGCTAAATCTCTTGAGGCAGTATTTATATTATTCCCTTTTCATTAAGCAGATACATAAGGTATTGCAAAGATTTGTATCTGCTTTGCTTCAAGCCTCTGCACACAGTTGTTTCGGAAAACAAAAACAAAAAAACGATCCTATTCATATCCAGAGCACAGTAGATCTCTATCCTTTAATACTACTTCTTTCTCAAGGAGTTTCATGACTAACTGTTGTCTTGCAGCTGGAGCTGGACAAACAAACACAACTATGAGGTCAAATCCTGTTGTGAATGCAAGGGCACCTGGTATTGGTGGTTTATCTTCTCCTGGTCTTCCAGAGATGGAACGGATGTTTGGTGGTATGCAGGATCCCTCTCTATTAAACCAGTTTATGCAAAATCCAGCTGTGTCACAAATCATGCAAAATCTCCTTTCCAACCCTCAGTATATGAATCAGGTAGTAGCCAAACTATGTTTCTAACAGTTAGTCATTCCATTGATTTTTTCCTTGTCTTTAATGTTTTTTCTTGATTTTAGATTCTTGGTCTGAATCCACAACTGCGCAGCTTAATGGAATCAAACTCTCAGTTAAGAGAAATGATGCAGAACCCGGAATTTCTTCGTGAATTGACTTCTCCTGAGACAATGCAGGTAGCATAACTTTTTAAGTCTAATAGAAATTTTACTTTTTTTTTAAAAAAAAAAGTTGGATAGAAAAATTAGCAGTCATAGATTTGTGCTTTATCAAACCCCAAATGCTTTTTAGGGGAATCATCCAGTTGCTGGCAAGCAACATCGATAAATATTCTGCTGGTTGGAATGTAGTTTGTCTGACCATTGTTGATGATTGTGGGTTTTTCCATTTTTACTTCTCTAAAGTTTCAGGCACTTGAGGTTTCAAATGGCAAGATTGTCTTTGAACTCGGTGATATTGTTGTTACTCAGTGATGTTGCTTGCCAGCAACATCGAAAAATATTCTGCTGGTTGAAATGTAGTTTGTCTGACCACTGTTGATGATCGTGTTTTTTTTTTTTTTCCATTTTTACTTGTCTCTAAAGTTCCAGGCACTTTAGGTTTCAAATGGCAAGATTGATGGTCTTTGAACTCAGTGATATTGTTCTTACAATTAAGATGACCTTCTTTTTTTGATCAATAACAATTAAGATGACCTTTGAGCTCTGCCTTTATTTAGATTGCAACTTATTACTTCTATATTGTGCAGCAAGTTTTATCTTTGCAGCAGGCGCTTCTGTCTCAGCTTGGTCGGCGACAGTCAACCCAGTAAGTTGGATTGTTGGATTTTGTGTTGGAAATGAAGTCATTCTAGATGACTCCAGAAACAAACCTCTCAACAGTTATTGTTATCATTCCTTCCATTCCACTTCTGATCCATTTTCTATGATGGGTGTGTGTATTCTCATTGACCAAGGAAAACTGATGCAGTAGTTACATTACAAACTACTTTTTGTGCCCATTTGATGAATAATGTCCAAATGTAGTGCTTATTAAATTCTTCTCGCCAAATTTGAATGGATTTGTTGCTTAGGATCATTGGCAGAAGTTGTTTCTAAGTATGGTAGTTCAAAAATTTTGCTTAGTCGGTCTTCTCTTCTTCTGCTGGTTTAATTATTGGATTGTGTTCTTTTACAGGGAGCTAGGTCAGACTGGTTCAGGTGCAGGTATGCAAGACATTTTCTCCCTAATCAAGTTTCTTGTTTGTAGCCAAGTGTTTACTCTCTTTGACAGAACAGCTGCATCTGTTATTATTTTATTACTTTATAATTTGGAACTCTTGTAAACAATGGTGTCATGTGTCGTACTTGCATTGTCCACCTGATCAACATCCTAGCCCCAAAATTGGCCTAATCACATTCTTATTAGAGTGAAAATAGTTAGATTTACAAAAAAAAAAGAGAAGAAATCCGTTGGCCTGTTCTTGAGCGATTCAGGTTGATTTCGGACCTGGTATTGCCCTAGATTATGTCTTTGGTTGCTCAACATCTACTTAATCAAGAGACCTTGTTATAGGACAAGTATTATGCTATCCCATTTACATGGTTTTTCCCCTGTTTTCTCTCTTTTTTTTTGTTATTTCCTTTTTCTTATACCCATAACAGGAGCGCCGAACAATACGGGATTGGAGTTGTTGATGAACATGTTTGGTGGGCTTGGTGCTGGTGGTTTGACTGTTCCCAATACACCTGATGGTAGCCATTCTCCCATGTTTATAACATCAGCGTCCACTATTGTTTTTTTACCGCATAAGGCTCAAGATATCATTTACTTTTGTTTCTGTAGTGCCACCTGAACAACTTTATGCGACCCAGCTGTCACAGCTTCAAGAAATGGGTTTCTTTGACACCCAAGAAAATATCCGTGCATTGAGTGCTACTGCGGGGAATGTCCATGCTGCAGTGGAGCGACTGCTAGGAAACCCGGGTCAGTAGTAGATTTATCTCATCTGGTATGTTTATAATTAGTCTGCGTCACTCATTTGGGCCTGTAAGATGAGCCAGTTTGGACACAGTTCCAGTTTCGTAAGATGGCAGATCAACGTGCGGGCACACATTCCAATCCCATTTTGGCCATTAATAAGTAACACACTACTATTATTCTAAGAGTTATCTTGTTGGTGACTTGGTGTAGACTTTGAATTATCGGACCAGTAGCCTGCCTCTCTCTCTCTCTCTCTTGAGAGATGAAGACTCGTTATCTTGTATATACACATTTCTAAGATTTGGCTTGTGAATTGTTTGCCGGAATTATGGGCACATATTTTGTTCATTGTTCCTGCTTTTCTTTATTTCCACATACAATTTATTTTCTTTTTTGTGCTAGCACTTCTGAAAAAATTTAAGTTCATATTTGTATATAACCGGATGGTGGTTGGACTTGATTTTTCTGATCCCCATCAGAGTCTGACTTTACCGGTTAGCAGCTGGTATCTTCAGGAATTGATGCCATGACGAAGGAAATTTTGTGTTAATTCCATCCTTTTTAGGCAAATTTCTTTGTTTTTTTTTCTCTCTCAAGATAAGGTAAATTTTGATTAAGCATCAACAGCGGCGTCTCCTTCGTGGTGTTGTACAAAATGGACAAAATTAAGGGAAAATCTATGATGCGCCACCCATGAATTTTGATAAATAACACGTGATTGGTTATTAATTGACAGGTCAGACGTTTTTGAGATACCATACCTTTTTCATATCATAGTCGAACCTCAAAATTAATCCTTGTACATCTCCATCTTTGACCCACTCTCATGGTCTCAGCTTAACCAATCCGTCATTTGTTTTGGGTAATTAATCGGCAAGTCCGCGACATTAATTCAAGGAGTGGTCATTGTTCGGAGTTAGTTCTCATAGCTTAACCTTTTGCAATTATACATTGGGAACAATTTTAGAGTTCACATCTCTGCCCCACAACGCCCCACAGCACAGCACATTCTTACCGTCTATTGGGCGGAGATGTGAACTCACATTTTTATACTTATTTTTTTATAGAAAGATACCTCAAATGAAGGGCTGCAAGGGACTGTGAGGACCAAATCCTATTTACATTTCTCTGGTGATCATTTCAGATTCTAATTTTGATTGGAGCAAGTAGCCGTTTCTTTTGACAAATTGGGGCAGATCATTCAAACATCCGGCCAAGGCTAAGCCATGCCCACGCATAAAGTAATGAAATCCAAGTGGGTGGGACCACCCAACAATTAAGCTATGCTATGGTTTTGCCACGTCTTTTTTTTATATCTTCAAACCCATAGAAACGATATAACCTAGGCACTACTTTACTTGAACGTCCAAGTAACAACAACCTCCCATCAGCCAATGGATTCTGGGCCCATTATAACTATGTTTTTTTTTAGACCGGATATGCTCCTCACACCTGGTGGCTCACGGGTGCTTTACACGCACATCTTATCATGCATTGGGGAGATGGGATCTGCTCTCACATAGGGGCACCTCACAGGTACATCTATCGTGTATTGAGAACATCTCCTGTGAATAATAATTTATAAGTAGGGGAGATGTTCCCAATGTATGATAGGATGTGTGTGCGTGGAGCAGATCCCATCTCTCCATGCATGATAGGATGTGCGTGTGAGGTGTAACCCTGTGTGAGGAGCAGATTCTATCTCCCCAATGCATGATAGGATGTGCGTGTGAGACACCAGGTGTGAGGAGCGGATTCGGTCTAAAAAAAAATATACTTATAGTGGGCCCAGAATTCATTGGCTGATGGGGGGATTGTTGTGACTTGGGATAGCATAGCTTAATTGTTGGGTGGTCCCACACACTTGCATTTTATTATTTTATGCGTGGGCATGGCTTAAATATTATTCACAGGATATGTTCCCAATGCACGGTGGTTGTGCCTGTGAGGCGCCCATTTGTGTGGAGCAGATTCCGTCACGGTAAAATCACAGTTTCTCAAAGTTTGTCTTGAGATTGCTGGAAGTGGAAGCGAGTTCGAACTTGCTCTCACAGAGCGCTCCACACACCGATCTCAAAGCATATTCTAGCCGTGTGTTGGAAGATGTTCCCAACATACGCTGGGACGTGGTATACTGGTATAAAGTCGGTGTGTGGAGCGCTACGTGAGTAGCAGATCCCAATTCGCTGAAAGCAGGTAGGTTTGCCTTTTTTTTAGATTTCTCAAAATGCCGCAAGTTTTCCCGCCAGTATATTCAAGGAAAAAGATTATTAATTTTTAACTGAATATATTATTTTTTTTGTTTGTTACAAGAACTTTATAGACTTCTGGTTTTGGGTCTGTTGGAGCCACCTCTCTCCCTCTCTAACGCTGCCTCTCTTTCTCTCTCTCTTCGATCGATTGCAATGCTCAAAGGTAACGTTCTTCTCAGATATGTTTATTTCGCATGTGTAACTTTAATTGGAAATCTGTTTTTTCCGTGTGGATTTCTTTTTGTTTTTTTCTCTGATCAGTGTGTTTTACTGATGTTTGATTCTGGAGAATTTGTCTATTCGAGAAATATAGGAGGGTCTCTTTGATTGATTCTTCTCTTTTTCCATGTTATTATTTGGTGGATTTTCCAGGTTTATGTTTATGGTTTTTTTTGGTTTCTGATAAACTTTGATTTGGGCTTTTGTTGGTTGGAGGGGACGAGGGTTGTTTCTTTTCCTCTTCTTTTAAATAGTTCCATTTTAGATTTCTTTTTGTCGTTTAAGTTCCTATATACTAAGCATTGTTTCTTCCAGTGTTTTATTTTAGTTTTTATTAATTTATTTTGTTCTCTTTTCTGCGTTTTGTGCCACGGGGGGCGGGGGGGGGGGTGAATTTTCCTTAAGGCTAAAACAGGGCGATATTCGGTAGAAACGTTTGTTTGGAGAACTCACTAAGTGCAGTTCTTGCTTAGAGCGAAGATTTGTTCTATACAGATTACAGAATTCAATATTTTGTCATTTGACATTTGCCTTATAGGTTGGTGTTAATCATTAGGGAAAATCTATGATACGGAATTTATCAAAAAAAAAATCTATGATACTGAAAAGATATGGTATGGAAAGAGTTTTGACCAATCAAAACCCACCAATGAATTTTGATAAATAACACCATGTTCTCTACCACGTTTATGATTCTGGTTTATTTGTCAGGTATTTTTCGGATACCATATCTTTTCCATATCATAGTCGAACCCTATCATTATTATAAAAGGTATTCGTGACATTCTGGAATACATGGTTGATTGCAAGGCCCCAACTATATGGAATTTGGGATGCACTTTTTTTATTTTTTTATTTTTGCCTAATTGTTTTGTTTGTTGATGCACAATAAGGAAGCTAAGTCAAAACTTTGATTTTAGAGACATAAGATAGAACCCAAATGTATGAATAACACATACAGTAATAAGTAGTTCATGTATCTATCCATTGTTGGTACTGTAAGACTTTCAAGTTTCAAGCTAGTTCCCAGTATTTGATAATAAGTTCAAGGGCAGAATGTTACAAAAGTGTTATTTTATGTACTATAAGACTTTTAATCATGCATCCAGTTATGGAATTAGCACCAATGTAGTACAACATAATACAATTATATTTGGAGAATATAATGATGTATCTTTTATAATCAATGTACTGCCTAAGTTCATATAGTTGCAGTGAAATGTAATATTTTAGAGGATATTGATGCCTATATCTTTTTCTTCTTGTGCTTTGGCACCTGAATGTGCTCACCTATATGATATTCAGATCTTACGATGATGTGCTGCCTCTTTGCTTGTGGAGTGAAAAAGTAATCCATTAAATAAGAAAAGCAACACAGAAGACAACAATTATTCACATATTAAAATATATGCCTATATGGCTTGTTGAAGAGATTAGAAAACTATCTAAAATAACAAAAAAATGTTGAAAATGAGACTAGGCATAGAAACAGAGACTTGCACTGTCTGGGACTTGAGAGTTTGCTAGAATGGAAGTGATTGGTTGATGATTACTACATGCAGTCCATGCATGCTAAAAGTGTGTGGTTGCCCAGGACCTGGGAATGAATCGAAAACTGTTTTTATGAAAAGAGAGTAGTTGTGTCAGATTAATGCTGTTTTTTATTTCCACCCTTCTCTCCAACTTTTGGACAGCACGACATTTTGATGATATATACTTCATTTTGTTAACTATAAAGAGACCACCACACGGCTATCCGTATACACATCACTATTACAATCCATGTCCCTTTTAAATGCCTGATATTATAGCACCACCTATTACAAAATTCAGAAAACTGGATTTCTTAAATCACATTAGGATGTATGCCAAATGCTTGCAATCAGAGCATGATTATCATGATGATTCCCTTCAAATGTTCTGTTATCTCTTTCCTTTCATAATCCTCAAAGGGTGGTTCGAATTCACTGAATGCTGAAGGTTTAAATATAATCCAAAGCTATACAAATGCGTATATAGGTTATAACCTGAAAAAGGTATGCAAAATTTCAATTCACATTGATTACTCATGTAATTCTCTTAACAAAGATCAAAGTTTCACTTTGATAATGTTTATTATGCATGCATTAAAATGAAATTCTTCTGCAAGATGAATACATGAAATTTGAAGTGTTGTCATATTGTGGTCCTTGTGGAAAACTCAGAATAGTGATGAAACTGTAGAATATATGGAGTAGCACATTTTTTTTAAACCCCAAACTTTACTCTCAGTGGAGGGGTGCATACATATAAGGGATTAGTTATTGCCTAAAAACATCAAACTTAAGAGATGCATAAAGATGTCCAAGTCTCCACCTTTCGGTTTGTTTACATATTTGAAAACAAAATCATATTCAGTGTTCAATTCATATCTGAAATAAATCATGGAATCCTAACCTCCATGGTCTTTATCAATACCTAGAAAGACCAAAATATGGTACATTCGGGGTATTTGAATATTGCTATGTTTTTTGGTAAGCATTGAATGTTGCCACTGCAGTTTAGAAATTACACATTCATCTCAACAACCTGATTACATTCTTATTTGTCTCCTTTCCTTCGTTTTCCTTATCTTTTATTTGATCATTTGACACAGAGACCCACAGGGCTTCTGTCTATCTTACTGAGCCTATAACCCATTCTGATTGTATTGGCTAATTACCCCACCACTAGGAGTGACTGGTTTTGAATGAATGCTTTGGAAAGAAGAGGTTAATGGATTTGTTTAATCAAATTGTCTTAAGGTTTCTTTTGCAGTAGTTATCAATTAGAACATTTTCTATTTCCAGTATGCTTTGGTTTTATTATTTATATCATTTACAGACTTACTATGTATAGTAAATCATCACTTAAAGGGGCTATTTGCTTGTAGGGGTGCAACTCAGGTTGGCCCAAGTTAGCATTTTACAATTCTTCAGGCTGGACCTATTCAAATTTTGATGAAATCCTAACCTGAGCCCACCCAAGTTGCACCCCCTAATTGCTTGGTAAAATAGTAAATCTCAGGCTGACAAACACACAAATCTGGGTTCGAGTCTGAGAGTGTCCACTTATGTGCAAAAATGCCAAATGTTAGGTCTATATCTGGTCTGCCCCTCACAAGACCCCAGATAGCTAGGACCAACATTAGGTAATGGCCTTTTAGTGAATCATGACTTCAGATTTACTAGGTGCTGGATTTTACTAAGGAACTAAGGATTTATACGAGGAAATCTGTTTTCTGTATGTGAGTCAAGTCTACTTCAATATTTAATTGGACTTGATGAGAGTCAAATGATAAGTGAATTGGGATTGAGCCAAGTCTACTTTATTAGTTATTTGGATTTGAAACTAGGAGAGTCACGTGATAAGTCTTGCACAAGGCTTTAGGATTGCAAATAAGTATGGCACATGTAATTTGTAAGTACACCATTATCAATCCTTGCAAACAACCCTTAGAAGCCATAGTTCTCAACCTATATTTCATTTATAACCCTGTTCTATATCTACTTTAATCCTTGATTCTACTTGGTTATCTGGCATTGGTTTGTGACCAAGAAGGTCCACAAAAGTCAGTAAAGAGTTGAAGGTATATGCACTAAAGGAGGATATATCTACATGCTTTAGAAAAACTTCTGTTGCTCGGAAAGACCCATGACCATTACATACACGTGTCAATGCCCATGACATTCTCATCATGTCCTCTGTCAAAATGTCTTTTTCACGGTTCAGATGATTAACCAAATGGTTGACCCTCCAGGTCAATTGAAGCCTGGTTTTGGAAAGCTTAAATGTAACCATAAAAGAAGGATTAACTTTTTCATTTTAATATGCTTATAATTTACATGATCCTAAAGTGTAAAAGTAATTTATACATTCCTTGACATTCTCTATTTTTTTATATAAATAAATTTTCAGAATGTATACTATTTCTAATACATCAAAGGTGTAATCCTTTTTAGACTGTATGTCATCAAGCCTATTTTGCAGAGGAATATTATTCCTTGTCATTCGTCATTTGTCTTCTGGGCAGCCTATGTAGCAAGTGGAATGGTATTGACATGAGCTCATATCTTGGATCTATGCAGAAAGCTTGTAGAATTTGCTATAAGTTGAGTATTGCAGATGGTTCAACAAATGGTTGACTCTAAAGTCAACCAATATGGGCTGCCTAACACTGGAGCTGGCTTACCCACTTCTGATAAGCAACATGCAATACTGGTTAAGAAGACAGCATTGAGAGACCTGCAGAATGATAACAGAATTTCATTGCCCAAACCTCAAGGTAATTCTACTTTTTTAAAGGAGAAAGGACCCCTTAAAGATGCTAAGGTTTCTGGAAATAAGAGAGCATCACCTGAGTGCCCAGCACCAGCAAGCCCTCCCGGCCATCAGTCTCTTAGCAGTAATGGTGAAAATAGTCATCTCGTGTATGTTCGAAGGAAATCAGAATCAGAACTGGGCAAAAGCAACATGGACAATGATGCTGGTCATCCACCAGCAAGACAATTTAACCATGGGGACCAAGAAACCCCTAGGCAACTTACCCAGATGAAGGAGCCTAAGATGTCTTGTTTTTCGGCATATACACCCATTCCAATGGCTTCTCTGATGACTTTCTCGTCTGGGGGGCCTACAGTTCCCCTTTCTTTGGGGAAGGCTGGTAATGGGTTGCCACTGGCAGAACCAAAGAATCCTGCAGTTACTTCTGCGCCTGTTCCCCTGGTTAACCATCAGGGAAATAGTGAACCACATTGGAAGGAGCGTTTCATCCGGCTGCAAACATTTTTAAGGAACTGTGACCATTCAAGTCAGGAGGATTACATCCAGAGTAAGTCTTATTTAAATTTCAGTTATCCACTTGAGGGGTGTTTGGTATTGTGTATATTGTGTTTCAATATATGCTGGAACACTGTATGTGATAAGCATTCTTTTGGCATGGCTATAGGTTCCAGAAGTTCCCCTATTTTTTCACACTTAAAAATGTATTGTTCCAAACCGTTAAACTTGAAATTCATTATTTTGGAGTGGGCCCCAGTGTTGTTTCTTCAACTATACAACAGGCTATAGAACACCATCATGTTTTTTCAACTTAACCACACCATAACTTTCTTTGAACAATCTACCGAATCCCCCTTAAGATGTTTATATTTTCTTAACTCAGTGTTGTCACTGACCTTGTTTTTGCTTCTATCATTTATTAGTGCTTCGGTCCTTAACCCCTTCTGGCCGTAGTAGACATGCAGTTGAATTGGAGAAAAGAGCAATCCATCTGTCACTAGAGGAAGGTAAATACTTCTCTATGCTTTTGCTTCGTTCTGTTATTCCCTCACAATTGTCAAGAGTCTAATAAATGGAACAAGTAGGTAAATATCTTCAGGAAGAGCAGGTGATTAAGAAATGCATGAAAGATAAAGGGATAGGAAAATTGAACATGTTTATTAAGCTTCCCTCCCTTTGGACTTTTACAAGCACTTGGTTTAAAATTCTACTGAAATATGGCTATAATTCTTCTCAAACTATGGTCTAGTAAGAATTATAGCCATGTTTTGCCAATTCGCTTATAAAATTCAGGAATCTTTTAGCATTTTGCTGTCATACACACTGTTTTCAAAACCGGACCGGACCGGATTGGATCGGATGGTTGGACCGGAAAACTGGGAACCGGTCACCTAACCAGTTCCGTTTTCCTCCAAAACCGCTTTTTCCCTCAAAACTGTTGATTTTGGTCAGCAAACCACTGAACCGGCCAGTTAACCATTCAAACGGTTTTGACTGTTTTTCAATTTTTTTATTTTTTATTTTTTATTTTTGTCAGAATGGGCCAGTCATTTGGGTTGAACGGTCGGATTGTTCGAACCGGTAACCAGACCCCTGACCAGTTCGGTCACCGGTTCGTTTTTAAAAACCATGGTCATACATGCCATGACAGCAAAGGCCAAGACCTCTTACCTGCTCTATCCCCAACCCTGAATCCAAGCTAATATAACAAAGATCTAAACGTTGAAGTGGTAAGGGAAACCAATTTGTTTTAATTTCTTTTGGTTTTCATCTACTGTAGGGAAGGAGATACATCGAATGACCATCCTGAATGTGTTGGGGAAATCTACACCGAAAAATAGTGCCTCACCCTTAAGTCAACAGGTCCAACCAGCAAAATGAGAAAGACGAAAATTAAAAGAGGAAAAAAAATTTATCTACCTCCTGCAAAGGATGCTTCCAATTATCCGCATGCAGGAATTCAACCTCAGTCACTGCTGATGGCTTTTTCCTACTGCATTAAATCTTTCCATTGGTTCGAAGGGTGAGCTCTTTGAGAAGCCTGAACTTCCTAATTGTGAAACTGTTGTTTAGTCTCAACTATCTAATAAATTCCGCTGTGGGTGCTGCTTCCCAGTCAGTCATCTTTATCTTATGAAATGAAATGGTAATGCCAGATGATAACCAGTCGCGTAGTGTAGGTTAAGTTGTTAATCCATACAATTGAATCCTGGAATTGTCAAAACATCAATTGCTTTTTTGGCTGCAATTAGAAGTTAGAACGTTCTTGTTGTAAGTGCTGAAGAAACTCAAAATACAATCTGTCGGGTAGGGCCTAACAGATTGGGACCAACAATCCGTTATGCAGTTCTCCACTGTGGAACAGACTTCTGCTCATTCATACGGTTTATAACTTGTGGGCAATCCCCCCTGATTACCGGACTGCCCTGAATCATATTTCGTCGCTAGAGAAACTGGTGCTAACAGTAACAGACCCCAGAAGAGGTTTAACTTGACGCGAGAAGAGCTGTCACTGGACCGGTTAGGCCCCTTCCGATCAAAATGCGTTTATTAATCCCTGCTATCGGTACTAGTATTGATGCCTAAGGAACCAATAACCAATCAATTGTCATGATGTTGATGACCATTCAGCTGGTATTCATCCAAATTCATCCGGGGGATTTTGAATTATTTGATTGGTCAAAGTTTTTCCGGTATGGTATCATACTCTTCTGGCACCATAAAAATGGACCAAAATATGAAAATGATAATGATCCAAAATTTTTCTTCCTCTTGGATTCATTATGCATAAATCTAGAACATTGTATAAAAATGATTGATCAATGTGATGGAAGTGTGCAAATGCCTTTCAGTACATATATGCTCAGTGATTAAGGCATGTTTTATCCAAAATGAGAGCAAAGTTTTCATCCAAAAATTGGATTGCAAATTTTGCACTCAAAGTTGGTCAATAGAAAAAAAAAAAAAAAGATTCAAATCTAGGAATTTGTATTTACACCCATTACAACAAATAATCTTTTGGCAATAAAGTAAACCAACTTTGGCATTGCATGGATCAGAATACTCTCCACATATTTGCATTTGAACTCTATTTGTACTCTTTCCAAACGAGCCAAGGTTCAGCCTGTAGGATCCACTTTAAATGACGTGATGCCATTTTCCAAGCAGTAGTTTGAATGCAATAATTAGGACGCACGATTAGGACAAATTGAAACGGACGATGATCATCATCATTATCTAATCCTTATTCCATGGGGTCTCACTATGGGAAAAACTTTGCTGTTGGGACTGTTCTTTGATCATGACACGTTACCATAGGTGTGGGCTACATGTATGGGTGATCGTTAAATTCTGGGTTTGGGCCTTCGTTTTGTGTATACTGTACAATCAGCCCAGGCCCAGGCTTCTGTTTCACTAGAACCCAAATTAGACTGGTCCCAGGCTTAACTTATAGCCCTTATTACAAGTGCTAAGCCCCCAGCCTAGCCTAGCCCATGATCACCTATAGTTACATGTAGGGTTGTCAATTGGACTGGATTTGGTCCAACCCAATTCAGTCCAATGTGAGTCCATTACAAATGGACCAGGTTCAATCTAATCAAATGAATAATTTAGACCATTTTGGACCGTCCAATTTAATGTTCGGATCATTCAATTTATTCGAATTCATTTTAATTTAGATGGTTTTCAACCCAAACCTGGTCCATTAACACCTATATTCTTATCTTATATCAATGAACTGGATATTGGCTTAATCCAACCAAATCCAATATAATTTTTTTTTACAGATGGATCAGGTCCAATCCAATCTAATAAATATTTTGGACTGGATTGATCCAATCCACTGTCTTTTTGGGCCGTCCAATCCATCCAAATTGATTTTGGATTGGACAGGATTTAGTCCATTGCACCCTTAGTTACATGAATCCTGTTTTACTATTCTGTTCTATTTAGTACCATATCCATTATCAAATTATTCAAAATCCTTTTTTTTTCTTTTTGCCCCTGCCTTTTCTAGAATTTGTAACAATTGAAGCTGGTCTTAGCAATCTACGGTCTTGGGAGTGGTGGGCTAAGTATGGTCCAGTTTAAACAAGGATGGCATAGTGAGCATCAAAATCCATCCTGATAGGCTCAAATTCAGGGTTCAAAAACATAAGTGCACAAGAACAGAAATATGACAAAAAAAGAATATAGAAAAAAACAACTAAAAAATAAGGTATCAAGAATTGTATTTAAATGTATAATTTGTGCCATGGTTTTCCACAAACAACTATTAAAATTAATGGCAGTGAGCAAGGTTCAAAGTATCACAAATCACAATGTATTAATGCGTATCATACAGTATGCATCAGTTTTTGAACCTTGCGATATATCATTTAGGCCCCGTTCGCTTTTCGGTAAGTTACTTACCCAGGTAAATGTAGTTATCTAGGGAACATTTACCCATGTTCTTCTATTTCTCATGTAAATAAGGGAATGACCATTTGAACCATAAAAATCCATTATTAAAAGGGGCATTTTTGTCCCATTCAAGTGTTGGCAACTATCCCCCTAGGTGGGAAAGTTATTTACCCACCTAGAAAAAGGGTATCACTTCTCTGATCCCCAAATAAATCTGAAAAAGAACATGGGATTCTTGGTTAATAGGAACCAAAATTCTATTGACCAACTCCCCCCACCCCCACCCTCAAAATTCAAAAAAAGAACGACCCCTTAGAGGGATTAGAGAGGGGTCTATCCCATATAGCTGAGACAAAGTATGGATGATGATGATGATAGAGGATGTTCTAGATTTAATCATTAGAATCCCTCCTATCTTATCTAACCCTAAAAACATCTTCTAAAAGATAATTATAATAAAACAAGGCCACTACTGCTAAGACTGATGTTGGTAAGGATTTCAAGGGATTGGGTTTTGATCCAATCCAATCTGAATCTAATTAAATTTAGTTGGTTCTAGATATTCGGGTTATATTAAAATAAAGTTTATTATTTATTTAGATTGAATTGGATGGTCCAATCCAGTTTTGTTACTCTATTCTAGTAATAGCTATCTAGCATGCTGATATTAACTTGGTACCACACTGGGACTGTGGCTAACTTCATAACCATGCAGCAGATCCGAATTGTTCATATTAAGTTCGTTCTGTCAATAGTCCACTCATAGAATTTGGGCCCAATTGAACGGGGCGTTCTACTAACACAATGCTGTTATTTATTTTTGGAATAGCCACATTAGCAAAAAAACCTAAAACATATTTTTAATTCTGTTCTTGTTTTTAAAGGAAAGAACTAATGTTTTCAACATATGTTTTTTGAATCATCAAAATAATCGTTTATAAAACAAAAACAATTTTTTTTAGAACAGAAATTATAGGGGCATTCTACAACGTGAATTGTTTTTCTTGTTATCAGTTCTAAAAACAATTTGGTTGAAAACAGATTGTTTCTCAAGACAAAAAAAAAAAAAACAAAAACCATATTATTGGTTGCGTATGCGCTTTTTGTTTTCAAAACAGAAACCAAAAACAAGTTATTATCCAGTTATTCCCATAAAGCAAATAATTTCTACACTACAAATTTGTAAAAGGCCCCTTATATAATTTCAAAAAACAACATATGTTTTTGGCATCAAAGGTTTTTAAAACAAAAACAAATTTTCTAGTACACAAATCATATGATCCATGGAATAATAATATTAAATACTCAAATGAAAACATGTTTTTAAATCAGAAATGCAAGAAACGTGTCTTTGGTCTCAATCTAAAAATGAAAAACACACAGATATGTGCTTTGTGTTTTTGTTTTGAGTTTTGATTTGTTTTTGAAACTGCAAAAGAAAAATGCTTTACATTGTAAAATATCCCCAAAATTTGGCACATCATCAAAAACTTGTGTTGTTTTTAAGTTTTTATTTTTAAGAAAAAAAAAGTTGTGTGGAACATAGAAAGATAGGATCATGAATAAAATCAACTATAGGAACTTAGAATTTAGAAATAGCCCCAATAAGTGATGAAAGAGAGAAAGTAGATTAAAATGATTTAGTTGTTGAAGAATGAATGGACTAGAAGGACTACTAAGGTAGATATAAAAGGACATGGGTAAAAATAGTAAGATATAACTTTAAATAGAATGCATTGATAAAATAAAATTAATGTAACCATCTATTATACCATTTAGGATTTTCTACTTACTTTTCTTACCCATTCTGTACTCATCATGAATTGAATTGAGAGATGTGTGATTATAATTCACGGTAGATAAAAAATGGGTAGGAAAAGTGAGTAGGAAATCTGGGTTCCTAATATACTTGGGATAAGGCATAGATGATGATGACATACAGCTGTGCATATGATTTATACAGTAAATATATATTTATAAAATAAAAATATCTTCAAATTTTCAGTCCAAGCTTCTTAATAATGTCTTAAAATTTCTTTCCTCTATTGATTTTGCATGAGCCAAAACAAGGAGGGTGGCAACTTTCTTACAGATATTTTTTTTCGTTTATTCTATTTCAATTGCGAAAAAATCAATATTAACGTAATTTGACTTTTTTACCGTTACATGTAGTCATGGGTCTAGGTTCTCACTGTGCAACACGTGGCAAATTTGAACTCAGACACGCAGATCCATAAGCATAACCCCTGGCCCCCGGCCCCCGAACTCTGGAAGCTAAATATTAGAAATGTCATAACGAGAAGAGTAAACATAGAGAGAAGAATCTAGAAAGATTGAGGGAAAAAAAAGAGAGGACAACTTAATAATTAATGCAATCTGTTTTTTCCCTAGTTTTCGTGTTTTCTTGGTAGGCATTTTTTCTTGAACATAATCTTTAAAAAAAAAAAAAAAACTCTCGTAAGTAGAATGCCCTCTTGGCTCTTGTGGGTTGTGGTTCAGCTCATCCCTGGGACTTTGCCAATATTCCGATCCCCAACCGCGTTCACACTATCCCGTAAACAACCAAAACTACAATCGAATTCGTCCAAGAGGTCTCTCTATAATTAGAGCACACGTTTCAAGGTCTTTATTATCTACGTGTCACCATATGTAAACGTCCAGCTCATCATCCTTTCTCAGAAGTGATAGCTAATAAGGTAAGAAGTTTAGGAAAAACACAAAACAGGATAAGGAACCGTGAACGATTGACGTTCTCATATTATCTATTTTTTCTCTCAACCTCTCTTCCTATATATCCATTTATCTATCTATCTACATCCTCTTTACTTTTAACCGTACAAAATCCACATGATAGACTCATCGTTAACAGGAGTAGACCCATCCTGTTAACCGGATTAGAGCGAATGGTTGAACCAATCGAACCATTAAGAGCAGTGAGTTGGTGGGTCAGACGGTCAAGGAGTCTGTTCAAGGATTACTTGCTGCTCCCACTTAATTCCTACTTTTATTAGACTTTTTTGGCCTTTTTGGATCATTTCCTGGTTAGCATTTTTTTCCCACAATTTAAAAAAAAAGTATTTTTTCCTGGATTAAACAAAAATCTAGGAGGTTGAACGTTGTTCAGTGGTTCACCCGAAAAATTGTAAATTAAAAAAAAAAAAATTTATGGTTCAGAGAGCGAATTGAAGACAAGCACCATGAGATATTGAATTTTTTGTCACTTTCGAACCCATCTTTACGGTTCAAAGCAAGCAGGTCCGAATATTTATAAATCCAGTTCGAGCGGTCTGGGTGTGTGATCGCCACATACGTACTAATAAGAGGATTTGAAGAGCAGGAAGTGGTTGTTACTTGTTCGCTGTTCTTATCCTCCCTCTCTCTCTCTCTTCGCTGGTCATGGATCCTTACAAGGTATACGCATATTGCTTCATTCTAGTTTTGATTTTTTCCCTCTCTTTTACTTGGTTCTGATTTTGGTATGTAGTTTGATGATTGCAGCAATTGTTTGGCTCTTGTTGTTTTGCTTTCCTGCTCTTCTTATTTATTTATTTATTTTTGTTAATCTATCGGCTTCTTGCTTATGATTCGTTGTTTGATTTAGTTTCAATTCTGGTAGATTTCAATTGGTTTTCGAATTTCTTATTCTGATTGATGGGTTTTCAATTCTTTTGGGATTGCCTGTTTTTCCTTCTTTTTTGGTCCTCGGATTTGATTAATGGGTATTTTAGTTGCGATACAACTTTAACTTGTTATTTGTTATCCTTTACGAAGAATCTAACTTTATTGTTATAATATTTTGATTGGTCCTTTGTTTCTTTTCATCTTTTATCGATATTTTCCAAGGATTTTCCATTTAATGTCTTCTTCTTCTTCTTCTTCTTCTTCTTCTTCTTCTTCTTCTTCTTCTACAGAATTTTCCAATACTACAGATTGAATTGGTTCATCTATTGGTTATGTTCCCCTGCTTCGTAGAATTCTCTCTCTCTCTCTCTCTCTCTCCCTACTGTTTCATTCATATTATTTTTTTAGGAAAATATATAACTTAATATTAAGGCTATGTTTGGTTTGAAGGAAAAAGTAGGGAAAGGTTAGGAAACCTTACCTTGTATAGATTTTGATATCAGTTTTTTTTAATTATTTTCTGAGAGCGTTACTTGATTTTGTGCAGTATCGTCCGTCAACCGCCTTCGATTCTCCTTTCTGGACCACAAATTCTGGTGCTCCTGTTTGGAACAATAACTCGTCACTAACTGTCGGAACTAGAGGTAGTTATTCGTTACTAGTTGATTGACTGTTTATTCGTACTTAACAATGCTCTTTTCCCCTAAGCAACCTTCATTTACTCAGTTGCTTTCTGGCACATTCATCCTAGTGTTATTTCTTGAAAGGGGCAACTTATACGAAATTCTTTTTTGCGTTTCTAAGTTCTGCTCGTTAGTTTTTGTTCTTTTTTCTTTTTCTTTCTATTTGTTTTTTTTTGGTGGTAAACTCCCTGTTAGCTAAATTGGTGTCTTGAAATTTCTTGGTTGAAGTTTTTTACTTTATGAATCGTTTATACTGTATATCTGTTCGAAGTTGGATATGAACATTTTGCATAACGAACATGCTAGCTTTCAGTACAGGAGTAAAATGTCCATTTTCTGTCCTTACCACTCAGAGGAAGATGTTGCTTGCAACTCAGGTGTGAACATATTAGATAGCCATTTGTCTTATATACATACCATGGTGGACATATCATCGTAAGTCTCTTTTAAGTGCTCCAAGGAGTTATGTTAGTTTCCATGTTCTTATAGTTGTTCTAGTGCTTAAAAAGGGCGGCCAATGCACAAAGCTCCTGCAATGCGGGGTCTGGGGAGGGACAGTTGTACACAGAGTTGTTCTAGCGTTTATTCAACCAGAAACACTTAATAGCACCATTGTTTGTGTTCTTCTTATTTATTACTTATTAGTAGACCTGTTCATGGGCTGGGCTTAGGCTGAACTTTTGTCAAAACTTGAATGGGCCTGGCCCAAAGCCCGATCCCAAAAGTGTAAAAATTTGAACAAGCCTAGCCCAAAGCCCGGCCTGTGAACATGTCTAGTTATTATATAGACTTGCCAGTGTAAAATTTAGGATGCCTGTGCATGCTCCAGTTTTATATAGACTTACCAGATAGTTTGCCTTGGCTTGTGGTTGTGCATTTCTTGTTTGGAGGTCAGGGATAGTGGGGGTAATATCTATTCATCCCATTCATTTACACTCTTTTCCTCAATTCCATAATAAATTTTCTGAACAATAAACTGAAGTTGACAGGACACATGCATTGAGGAAAGCATCATCTTTAAAACACTAAAGTGGAAGCATGTTATCAGAATATTAGATGGCATAGGTAACAATATGCAAGTATTGGAAAAGTTTCTTAGCTTTGACAGAACAACTAAATCAGTATTCTTCATGTTCACTGAGTATAGGTTAACTACTAGAAGGCATTTTAAATCATTTCAAACCTTGATTACCATATGACCTGGGCTCACCAATGTATCAGGACAAAACCGTGAAGTTCCTTGATTGCTACCAAATTTGGTCTAAACCCTTAACCACAATGGATATGTACTAACATGTCTGTGCACTTTAAGCAATTTACAGGGAATCAGGTATCATTGCCTTTTTTGTCGTTGTTGTTCTGATTTCTAGTGTTCAGTATTGCAACTCTGTTGAACCAAAAAATCATGGGCACATAATAGGACCTGTAACAAAACAGTTTGTTTACTTAGTAGAGGGACTTTAGGGTTTTAACAATCAATCAAATTTAAAAAAGAAAGAATCTTATTCTGTACCAAGTTCAATTCAGTGGGATCAATTTATGATAGGACAAGTATTGTTCACGATAGATATTATTAGTTATCCCCTAACTCTTTATCAAGGTATGGTCTATTTTAATTTTAGAATGCCATTTTTCTATATTTGATATTTGCTTATTACTTGTTTGTATTTTATGTAAGATTGGGAGATGTTGGTTGACATATATGCATAAACATTTTTTTTTCAATATTGTTTTAGATTTCAAGTTTGTTCTTACGTGACTGAATCCCATTTCGTTTGACAGGTCCAATTCTGCTTGAGGATTATCATTTGGTTGAAAAACTTGCCAATTTTGACAGGGAACGGATCCCAGAACGTGTTGTTCATGCAAGGGGGGCTAGTGCTAAGGGATTTTTTGAGGTTACACATGATATTTCACACCTCACATGTGCAGATTTTCTTCGGGCCCCTGGAGTTCAGACCCCAGTCATTGTTCGTTTCTCCACTGTTATTCATGAGCGTGGCAGCCCTGAAACTCTGAGGGACCCTCGAGGTTTTGCGGTGAAATTCTATACAAGAGAGGTAACCATGCTTACTTAAATCTTTATTTTTATTGCAAAATTTAGCTCATTTAAATGTCCATGTGTTTGTGGTTTAATTACTTAACTATATGGATGAAGATTTATTTTATATTAGACACTAGTGAAAGATATAAAATACCATGGATATGTTTACTTAGGAAGATCTCTCTATAGTCCTTACACTAAGTCTGGATAGTTATTTTGTGGGCCTATTCTTTAATTTATTTTGGATTTTAAGGAAAATGTCACAAGTGAATTTGGATTGTCCTGAATTTGGAAGGGAGGGGGGAGGAAGGAAAAAATAAGAGAAATTTGGCTGTCACTCCGATTTGGGTTTATGGCCATACCATGATTGTGTGTGGCATGCTTGCAACCCAGGCATAACACTGTATGTCACAGTCCATAGTTACTAAAAATGAAAAAAGAAAATATATAAAAGGAAATCTATGATGATGATGATCTAAGCCTTGTCACAACCATATGGGGTTTGACTACAAGAATCCTGTTTCAGCTATTCCATTCTGTTCATTATCAGTGTCTTATCCATTACAAGAATACAAGGAAACCTATGATAACTCAAATATTTAAACACCATCTTAATTGACCATGTTTAGTTTTTTTTTTTGGAGTCTCACCTAACAATGCTTCTCTCTCTCTCTCTCTCTCTCTAGGAGAGAATTGGAATTAGACATCTTTGTGTGTGAAATGAGAAATTGGGAATTAGTCATTTACAATATTAGTAATGATATAAAGCTATTATATGGCACTGAAAAGGTACCATACCTAAAAATTAAGCAAATAGAATCCCAGGTGAATTTGAATGAAATACTGGTTCATTGATTATTAAATCTTAAATTTTTATTAATTAAAAATTGAGCATGTTCCAATTTACTACTTGGCACTACAGCCCTAACCAACGTAGATTAGCCTTGACCTTACTGTTTTCTTTGACATTTATTTTTTAATATTACTGTGTGAAGATAGCCACCCCATATAGTTGGGAACTGGGATAAAGCTTGGATTACTGTGTGAAGATAAATTAGCTGGTAGATTTGATGTACTATATATTCATTATTTTGACCAATTTGTGTTTCTTCTGCTGTTGATCACAGGGTAATTTCGATCTAGTAGGAAACAATTTCCCAGTGTTCTTCATTCGTGATGGAATGAAGTTCCCAGACATGGTCCACGCTCTCAAGCCCAATCCTAAGTCTCACATCCAGGAAAACTGGAGGATTCTTGATTTCTTCTCCCACCACCCAGAAAGTTTGCACATGTTCACTTTCCTCTTTGATGATGTTGGTATCCCTCAGGATTACAGGCACATGGATGGCTCTGGTGTCAACACCTATACCCTCATTAACAAGGCTGGGAAAGCACATTATGTGAAGTTCCACTGGAAGCCCACTTGTGGGGTCAAGTGTTTGTTGGATGATGAGGCTGTGTTGGTTGGAGGAGCCAATCATAGCCATGCAACCAAAGACCTTTATGATTCAATCCAGGCCGGGAACTATCCTGAGTGGAAACTCTTTATCCAGACGATAGATCCTGATCATGAGGACATGTATGACTTTGACCCTCTTGATGTGACCAAGACCTGGCCAGAGGACATTATTCCCCTGCAACCAGTAGGTCGTTTGGTCTTGAACAAGAACATTGATAACTTCTTTGCAGAGAATGAGCAGCTCGCCTTCTGCCCTGGCATTGTGGTCCCAGGTGTCTACTATTCAGATGATAAGTTACTCCAAACTCGGATATTCTCCTACTCTGATACTCAGAGGCATCGTCTTGGGCCAAATTATCTGTTGCTTCCAGCAAATGCTCCCAAGTGTGCTCACCATAACAATCACCACGAGGGATTCATGAACTTTTTGCACAGGGAAGAGGAGGTAATCTACTCTTATTTCTATTGTCCCTTTTTCTGTAGCTAAGGCTAGTTTGGATGACACATTGTTACTGCTGGGTTATTCCCTAATGAGAATGCTGTTTCAGGTCAATTACTTCCCTTCAAGGTATGATCCTGTTCGCCATGCAGAGAGGTACCCCATCCCACCACAAATATGCACTGGGAAGCGTGAGAAGGTCAGTTGGTATCTGAAATCACTAATCCAACTTTTGAGATAGTTGAATTCTATGGTTCTTAATCATGTATTTTGTTGAAGGAAACCTGCTTGATTACTGGGTTCATGATTCCTTTATTTTGAATGGCCTCACACTGAGCTACTACACAATTCTAACCATTCATTGGACACCTCGGTTCCAATTGAATGGTATGAATTGTCCCATACTTAGAGATTGTACTGCTCTATTACTGATTTACTGAATTATTGCTTGAACTCCTCAGCATAAGGATAATTGTTTTGAAACCAAAAATGGATAATACTCAGCCTTATGTTTAATGCAGTGTGTTATTGAGAAGGAAAATAACTTCAAGCAGCCTGGAGAGAGATACAGATCCTGGGCCCCAGACAGGTACCTGCACTCCTGCTATACTAATAAAGACTAATAAGCGGTTCAGTCTTGACATGACTATTTTTTTCTTCTATTTGTTGCAGGCAAGAACGATTTATTAAAAGATGGATTGATGCTCTATCTGACCCAAGGGTTACACATGAGATCCGTAGCATCTGGATTTCATACTGGTCTCAGGTAAGATGAGCATTCTTTGCCTTCTTTATTTTCTTCTTTTGTGTATGTGTGTGTGGTGGGGGGGACAAGAAATTGATGCTATTAATGTCTACTTACGAATTACAGGCTGACAAGTCTTTGGGTCAGAAGCTTGCATCTCGTCTCAACGTGAGGCCAAGCATGTGAAGAACGTGTTGCAGAAATTGGATGCTTTAGGGTTGCTTAGAGGGAAAAATGAGTAAATGTAGAGAAGGGCGTCAATGGAAGTCTGATGTTGATCATTTAATTAATGTGCTATTATATATACAAGGGAAACATCACCAGTCCTGTGATTCTACATAATTGAGATACTGCTCTTGTGATAAATTTGCTGCTTCATATACAGGTTATTATTATTTATTCTCTTAGATGGTGTTTGGAAGTATGGGCTTTTTTGGGATTGGTTTTGAAAAGAAAGAAACGCTCATGCTTGCTAGACCTGTTTTTCACAAAAAAAAAAAAATGCCTTTTGATATGTTTGGTAGTGTTTCTGTCACTTGGGCAGTGAACAACATGCTGTTTGGTAAGGTGATTTTCATCACCGTTTTTCTGCCACATATTCGCCATATCAGTCAACCATTGGGGGCAACGGTTCACCGAAGTATAAAACGATTTGAAGTTTCATGCAACGGTTGGGTCCCGATTTACGAGGTATGCCCGTTTTTCAGCGTTTTTTTTTTTAAAAAATGCTTGTAACCAAACAATCATCTATGTGGGTGTTTGTTGAATCATCTATGTGGATCTAAGGTGACACCGTTTTTCAAAAAAACGGCCACGCTTTCAAACATCCCCTTAATTTACTGCTGTGTTAGACGTTTTAATTTTTTTAAACACTGACATAAAACCTGGGGAAAGTAGCGTTCAATGTCCATAAATTTAGTCTCGGTTTGTACAAAGTATAGTGCACAACGATCGAAAATTCTACTAAAATTCCATTTCCACCCAACTCTCATCATATTCCTTCTCCTGCCCCATGGGGACCGTGATGAGATTTCAGCAATTGAACCACTCTTCCCTCATCGACTGACTGTAAATGAATGCTCGTTTTGCTTCGCTGAAACGTAGTTGTCCAAATAAGCTCATTGTCTCCTCTCCCTTCCCTCCCCCACTCTTTCTGCCTCCTTCGGCAGCTGCAAGCTAGACGATCAATAGCCCCCTCGAAATCAAGAAACCCCTGAACATCCCGACAACCTTACCTCATTGAAACCCCCAACATTGACTACTGTAACTCTGTAACTGGGGCTTCATCCAGTGCGACCCCAATTCCATTACGAAACCATCGTCAGAACGATAGACTTCCGTGAAGTCACCAGCCTCACCGAACCCATTCTCTATTCCATCACCAAACTTCATAACCTCAAATAATCGATGTTCTTCATTACCATCCTTTCAGGCACCATCCCTGACTTCCTCGGCCATCTAAAAAAACAAACTTGAGTCCTTAACATTAAGCAGCAGCCAGCTCGCTGGTTCAATCGATCCCGGAAAGTGGAAACATATCCGACTCGTTTCAGTAAACTAACAGGCATGTTCTCTCTTAGGCCCCGTTTGCTTTTCGGTATATCCGGTTCAATACAATTACATGGATAAGTTTTTCCCGGAAAACACTTACCCAAGTAAGTGTATTTACTCATATTCTTTTATTTTTCTAGTAAAAAGGAAATGGCCATTTTAGTTATAAAATCCATTATTAAAATGGGTATTTTTGTCACATTCAAGTGTTGAGTTATTTACCCACTTAGGAGATGGATATCACTTATCTGAAAAGAGCATAGGTAATCTGAAAAAAAAGAATATAAGATTCTTGGTCAATAACCAAAATCCTATTGACCAACTTTCCCCCTCTCAAAATCCAAAAAAATAACATCCCCTAGAACAAGCTCTTAAGTGGAATTGAATTGTGTGGCAATCTACCTGAAGGATAAAAAGCTGGTTGGTGACACATCAATGCTTTGTATGTAAAACTATCAAAATCAGGATTATTTCATAACGATACTAGTTCTTGATACAAAATTATAACAAGAAAAAAGAAGACAAAAAGAAAAGTTTGAGATAATAACTAGCGAAAAATAAGGCATCGATTGCAATTTTGATATGCTAGTGTTGTGATGGTGATGAGATTATTGCTCGTTGCAATCTTTTATATTAGGGTGAAAGATTTAAACATAACCTGAATTCTGTTAAGGGAAAATTCCCGATTAATACTCTGTATTTTGGCTCAAGTGACAATTTAGTCCCCAAATTTTAAAATGCGATAATCTAGTACCCGAACTTTCGAAACACAACAATCTCGTTAACCAACTGTTAAGTGGAATTTGAAAAGACACAAATGCCCTTTAAGTGTCATTTAATTGTCTTTATCAACTATCCGCTAAACTCATAACCAACGGTCACTTTTTTCATCCTTGCCAAAACACTTTTGTCTTTCTTCTCCTCTCAATATTCTGTCATCTTTGGACCCAACTTATGGGAGAAAAGTTTTCCTTTAACTATTGTAATTATCTTGTCCAAAAAACAGAAAACAAAAAAGAGAAAAGTCTCCAACCACCATCACTAATCTCTCTCTCTCTCTCGAAAAAGCTTCAAGTTCTTCTCCTCTCTTTTACCTATAGGAATAAAATATTATTGTGTTAAATTAAAAAAATATATATATATGTTGTATAAAACCTAGAATTTTCTGTTCTTGGCAAAGATTTGCAATAACTTTGCGAGAAAGGCAAAGTCATTGCAAGTGTTTGTGACAAAGAGCTTGGGCTCTGTTGCAAGGGTTTTGGTGTTTGTGATAGAGGGCTTGAGTTCTATTTCATCTTCTTGAGAAAGAAGATGATGAACAATGTGTTTTATTTCTAATGGTAATTTTGACATTTTCAAAAGTCTTAAATCGTACATGAGGTCACGTGATATACATAATCGATGATCCATTAATGATAGGTACTAGATTGTCACGTTCAAAAGTTCGGGTACTGGATTGTCGCATTTTAAAATATGGGGACCAAATTGTCAATCAAACCAAAGTACAGAGTACTGATAGGGAATTTTTCCTTTGTTAATGTACTTAAATATACCTTTTCACCATTATATACACTTTTACCCTTCATTAAGATTTCAAATATCATCTTCTCTTTTAAATGAATTTGTTATCAACTAATGGTAGAACATTCCTTCAAAGTAAAATTGATCAATGCAACTATCCAATGAACTTGTTAATGAAAGTGTTCTCTTGATTCTCAAATCTCTTTCTTTGTAATGTTTTTTATATAACTAATTAATTGGAGGAATTCAAGAATGATTATGTTAGGTTTTAAAATTTTTATTATCAATTTGTCACCGAGTGCAAACTGAAATTGATTAAATACATTAGAAGTTAGAACACCAAAAGAAAAAAAAAAAAAGATTTACATTTGAGGTACAAGTAAACAAATATACAATTTTAAATTGCTTTTGTTTTTTATTTTTCTTCTTTTCTTTTGTTTATGGTTGTCTTTTTTATTATTTTCCTCTATATGATCATCCAAATGCAAATGAATGGGAATTGGGGGGCATTTTCGAAATAAGCACAGGTTTCAGTTTTAGTGAATGGGCCCGTGTGTTTGACAAAAGTCTTAAATGAGACCATGTCCAAATGCATGCCATGCCTGCCCAACATGCACAAGCACCTTCACATGCACCTCCTGCCCACTGCCCAACCCGCCCACTTGATACGTTGTGCACTTCCCCTATGTTTGCACAAGCCTTGGTCCTAAGTGTTGTGTTTAGTTCAAGCTGGTACATATTTAAACATATGTATTATATATATATTGTATACATATGTATATGCATTATTTTATGATAAAATATTAGATTATATATTTTATATAAATATCATAATATGACACCTATAATTAGGGATGGAAAATTTTCCCATCCCCGTTAGGTACTTAGCCTTCCCGATCCATCGAGTTAGAGATGGAGATTGCCTTGGTAGGGCGGGGACAAGGATGGGGAGTGAAGTCCCCACCTTACCTTGACCTCGATTATATATATTAAATATTGTTTACATTAAATTTATATTATATATATTATTGTTATTTATGTTATATTATATATATATCGAAATATATTTAAAATGTCATTTATATTTTAAATCTTTCCTTTATTTCAAGTAAATACATTTTTTGAAAAAATACTATTAATTAAAAAATTGTAGGGGTTTGGGTCCTGTGAGGAACCCATCTCCATTGGGGATGGGGAATAATCCCTACCTTTAACCTGCCCCATTGCCATTCCTACTTATAATATATATTATATATAATATATAAATAAATTTATATGCATATTATAAATTATTTAATATAAAACATTATATATATATATGTAAACAACCATCATTATAAGTGCAAATCCAACTAGATCAAAACCTTTTTTTAAAGAAAAATATATAAAACATCAAGTGACAAAATTAAATAAAAATATTAGCATTTTTTGTTCAAAGGTGTTTGGATCGAGGAGATTGTGGGTGTTTTGGGCTAACGAAAGGGTTCGAAAGGGAATCTTTATTTGATTAAAGGATAAACAAAGGAATCTTAGGTTGAAATTTCATGGGTACATATTTTAGGAGGTCTTGAGCATGATGACCGTGTTTGGGATTTTTAGGTGCTTCGGAAATATCATAATGATTTGATTGGGTGTTTGGGGGTAAATTGGGGGGGGGGGGGTTAGCAACGATTAAGCAAAAATTGGGTGTTGATAATGGGGTTTCTAAAGGTATTGGTCTATTGGAATCATTTGGTGGGGTTTGATTGGTCTATAAATGGTATGACTAAGGGCATTTAAGAAATGAATATCTTGGCCAATGAAATAGCCCATATTAAGGGTTTAATGGGGGATATCTATTTGTGACGAAATTTTGTGGTTAGGTGTTTATAGGTATATAAGGCTCTTTAAAAGCCCATTAACTCTAATTTGTAATTCGATTAAAAAAAATCCTGCACCATACAAGTACCGACTAGTATTATATATAGATAGATAGATAATTTATGTAATTGTGAGTTGACCCATCTAATCGGTATGATATGACATGCCACCCATGTGAATAGGGGTGTTAATAGTATTCAAAAATCCAATTTCGAAATCGACATTCGACATAATCGAATCGAATTCGGATAATTCGAATATCTAATCGGTTGAATTTGAATATCCTATTCATATCGAATAGTTAATCGAATTCGAATTCAGATATGACCTGATTCGATTCGATAAATATCTGAATTTGACTAATTATTTAATTCTTATATATAATATATAAAATATTTTATATAATTTATTTATATATATAATGATTAAGTTATATAAATAATTTATATATTTATATACTTTATATCAATAAAATATTTATTCTATATATTTATTAATCATCTAAAATAATTAATTAATCAAATTAAAATCGAATCAAATATTCAAATCTTTAATTGAATTCGAATTCAGGTATTATTTTTTAATATTCATTGGATATTAGATTTTTTAATCGGATTTAAGTTCAGATATTGCCTCATCCGATTCGAATTGGATCCGTTTACACCTTTACATGCGAATAAGAGGTTTCTACATTAGTTTAAAAAAACAGTGATGCTTTGCTAGGGGTAGTTCGAGAATCCAACGTTAGTATATTTTGTTATCAGTCATCACAGCTGTACTGTCATGTGGATTTAGCGTGGGTAAGAGATCTGAATTGCTTAGAACAAAATTTAAAAAGTTCTAATTAGTTAAAAAGAAGTCTCTTAAGTTGGTCGTTAAATTCATGCCGATCAAAATGGGACGTGATTCCTTGCAACAACTATACGCATACGGGAATAAATCCAGCCGCAGTATCGAAACATTTTTTCTACATACCATGTGACTATGTGAGCTGAGGTTTTGCTTGCGGGAAATCCGGGATCGTTCAAAAATGTCGATACCCATTCGACTATGGAAGCGGAGCGTTGTAATTGCGGTTGCTCCTCAGTTCAGTCCAGTCCAGTCCCTCCCTCAGGGCTCAGGGGGTTCGGTGTTTGGGTATCATATGATGGCTTCATGCATGCCATGTTCGACTTTTATGTGGCAAAAATAATGGTGGAGAGACTGGAGAAAAGGATTCAGTGTGATTATCTCAGGAGATGTTTCTTAGCTGTCTAAAGTAATAAAGGTGGCATCATCCAGCATCTTTGACCCTCCTCCGTTGCCTGAATCGTCCATATTTCAAAATCCATGCTGACCCTTATTTCAACCGCATCATCAAATCAAATATATCGGATTTTTAGGTTAACTGGATAAGCCATAAGATTTATTTACTCCCCAAAAGAAATAGGATAAGTCATAATAATGAGAAGGGAAATAAGAAAAGGTCAAAAAAGGGTATCGCCGTATCGGATTTCGTCTTTTGGTTTGAAAATAAGAGCCGGTACAGGGTACAGCTAAGGTTCCAAAACAACGAAGAAGACTGGAGTGAGGACCCTCTCTTCCACGCTATTTTTTAACTGTGTAAGGTAGTGCATGCTGTCGCTAGGGCTATTATGCGCTGGACGCTCATGCCACCCAGACCGGAATTTCAGATCCAACATTCTCGATCTGAAATCTTCTCCTACTCGCTCTAATTATATTGTCACAGCACTGACACAACGGTTTTCCCGCCTTACTTGCCTTCGCGTTCTCTGCAATAATCGACGAGGTTTCAAGGAAGTGAGAGTGTCTTCACGTCTTCCTGGAGGTATTTGTCGTCGGTTGTTTCTTTTCTTTCTTGGTTCCTTTTTTTTTTTTTTCTTTTCTTTTCTGATTCTGCTCAATTCGAGTTCGAGGTAATTGCTAGCTTTGTTCTAACGCGTTTCCAGTCGGGTTGATTTCTGAATTCTCTTTACGTTGTTCATATGTATGGTTGTGAATTGGGATTTTTTTTTGAACTGGTTTGAAGTGTAATACAACCGTGTTCTATAGACTACTGAGAATCGGAGTAATTTTTGGTTTTGCCGATTGCTCGTTCTGATTTCTCCTTCAGCGCCTCTTTTTCTTTGTTCCTATAGTCCTATTTAACGTGTAACATTGAGTTCAAATTTATTAAGTAATTCAGGAACTTCATCATTTTGTCTAGGTTTAATGACAAAATGGGGTTTATGCGCTTCAAGTAATTCCACTAATCTAAAAAAAAAGACCTTCGTTCCCCCCCCCTCTCTTTGACTTGTATCTTCGAAGTTTATGCTTTTGAATTCTTGTATGGTCCTCTTCCCGGTAAACTAATTATGATTTTAACCTAATTCGTTCTCTCTCTGCTGTAGGTTAAGATTATGCAATATCTATTTATTTATTACACAAAATCATTTGGAGTAGGTACAGAATCTAATGCTACACCAAAAAAATACTCTCTTTTACTGATTATTTAATATCTTAAAAAATGGCTAGCATCTAAAATTTGTTTCTTTCTTGCCTACTTTCTTGTTTATTAACTCACTGAGATTAAATCCCTTAATTGGTACCTTTTCTTCCCTTTCTTGCTTATAGTATTTCTTTCCTAGCTCTCCTTCTATTTATTTAAGTTTATACGTGTATGCTCTGTCATGCTTGAATAATTTTCACTCAGTTTTGGATTGATCTCTGCCACTCTTTAGAAATAAGGTATTATTAGTGTTTTTATGTATTTACTTGTGGTCTGTTAGTTTTTATTTATTTGAATCTATTGTTGTCCTTAGTGAATCGGGCTTTCATTGCAATGGAGAAAGTTGATTCTGTGCAAAAGCTTTACACAAGAATGCGATTATGGGAGTTCCCAGATCAGTATGTTGTTGACCCAACTGATGGTTCTACTGGTTCTATTTTGTCTATAAGTCGTGTGGATGGATCGATGAAACTGATTGGTTAGCTACTTTTTCTTATCTTGTTTTTTTATTAGTGCAGGTTATCAATTTTGACTATGGTTTTTTATTTCTTAATTTATTGAGAAAATGCAAAATTATTGACGAGAAATACTTTGAATTCTGCAGATGAGCTTCCTCATTGCAACTCTGTTCAGGCTCCAAAAATTCAAACTATTTTTGGAGTAATGGGGATGTTGAAACTCTTGTCAGGCAAGATACTTTGGCCATGAACAAAATTCTTATCTTATGTCCTAGAATTGAGATCATTAGCTTAATGATGTAAATGCCAAAGTTTATTGATTCCCACTTGTTTGTTTATATGCATGTTTATCAGTACATTGACATAGTGTTTTTAAAGGGAGACAGGTAAAGGTAGTGCTTAAACTTAAAATCAATGCATACTTATAAATGGGAAGCCTCTAGGTAACTTTCATAAGAGTTCTAAAGGTTTACGGTTATTTGGGGATTGAGGACAAACTAGGGATACAAACAGATCAGATCAGATTCAAATGAAGGTATATCCGAATCTGATCTGATAATATAAATTTCATTCCGATACAATCTGATGATTTGACCAGAGCTCAAAAAGGTCGATTTGAATTTGAATATGTTAAGGATGTTTGATATTCGAATATGATGCAATCTGATAATTTCTGTAAATTCAACAAATTATTAAAAGGAAAAACATCAATATAATGATATCAAATGTCATCAATTTACAAGATAGAATCTCTATTTAAGCATATGGTATTAAAGAATTGAGGTTAAAACACCAGTCAGAGACAAAAATAATTCATTAGAGGTGGTAGTGAATACCAAATCCATTAGATGATACTTGCTGAAATCTGAATTGCTATCAAACAGTAAAAACATGCTATGCTGAAGGCACTAGTAAAAGTTGTAGTTGAAATTGTTCATGTAGAGCTAGAGCAGAGGTTACGTGAGGTAGAAAAATGATTCCTACGAGAAATTAAGGTCATAGCGAATTTGAAAGGGCATGAGAGTGAGTTCAGGAACATTGCCATTTAGCTGCATTTGTTTGGGTAGAGAATGAAGGAAATGATTTTTAACTTGGTAGGGGACCTAGAAGGTTGGTTATGATTGTTGGAATATTGTTTGGTGGGTCATTTTGTCAACTCTAATCCAAAGGTAGAAGATGTTGGAATCCGAAAAGTGCAATCCAGGTGAAGGAAATTAATGCTGGATTTTTCTTTTCATTTTTAGTTGCAAAGAGGAGGCAAAGTAGGTGCTTAAATGGGAATTGAATCAAGTCAGGATGCTGGAGTTATGGTTGGGGAAACGGAATCCACTGGTGGGAGCAATTAGAAATGTTGGAGTTACAAGTCTCATTTGGATTAATGTTTACAGTATTCTGCTCCTTGCATGATGCATGGAATCATTTAGAATAGTAAGTGAGGCTTGTGGAAGATTTAGAAAGATCAATCTGAGAATTATTCCTAGAAGAATTTAATGGTGGTGTCATTGCTAGTTGAACTGTTGAAGTGAAATAAATTCACCCGGTCCCATTGTCTTTGATGCTTTGTTTTTGTTGGGAAGAGTTTTGATTTAAGAATTTGGTGGAGGGTTCCTACCTATTAAGATGGCTAGAAGATGAATTGGTAAAGGAAAGGTAGGTCAGCAGAAACTTGTTTTTCTGATTCATTGAGAATGAAGACAAAAAGTCCCAATGAAGGGGATGGGTTGGAGGTTGAAGATGAGGGTATTTTTTTGGATTTTTTTTTTGAAAATGATGACATGCCATATGGATTAAATGCGGGATGCAATTCTCAAAGTTTTAAGCTCGAGGAGATGAAGGGTCATAAGATGTTTGGTTAAGCCCAAGTGTTTAAGCATGTTATTGGATTGGATTGGTTAAATAAGGTTAAGGGGGCTGGGCTATTTTGATCAAACTATTACGTGCCCACAAGTGTTACTTGACAAGTTAATGAGGTGGCTAGGTTGGGAAAGTCCATTTTGTTGGGCTAAATACTGGCAGCCTGGGAGGGGAGTTGAACCGTGTAAGGGGCTGGCTAAACAGGTTGGTCTTAGAAAAGCCTATGGGCTTCCCTAGGTCAGTCTATCAAGTGAGGAGGTTTGAAGGGCTCAACTGCTGAAGATAGGTCATGTAAAAATAGGGGATACTATGTTTGGTATGTTTCGAGGTTCATCTATAGAGACAAAGAGTTGAAGGAAAGTCTTGACATTCTTTTAGAGTCTAGAGGTTGATTGCATGGATGTTGATAGGGGAGGAAATGACAAGAATTTGAGGAGTAAAGCATATGTGGGGAATGGTTCAAAGGAAACAGTGGTAGACTTAGTGCTTGGTTTGTTTTCAAGGTAATTGTTAGTTTGTAGAGAATTTTGTTGAAGCTAATAAGGACATTGGTGTTGGGTAAGCAGATGATTTGGTTGAGAGACCCGATATCAGAGGTCATAGCCTCAATAAAGTTGTTCTTGAGATGCTGAATTGTTCATGATTAGAGGATTCTCGATTTTTGATGAAGTTGATGGTGTGCAATGTCGTCCAGGTACCTACTTTACTATCTTTTGACAGTGTGAAGGTTAGTCCTTTTACATAGGAGGTGGAAGGATGGGTTTTAATTGTTGGCAATGAAATTTTTTTGGTGGAGGAGGGAAGCAGAGAAGGGAAAGAGATGTCAAGTTATTGAGGTGAGGGTTTTAAATGGTGGGATTTTGGCTGGCTTGTTAAGAGGGAGCTATAGACTAGAATGGGAGGAGGTGGATAACATTGGAAGAGGTTTCTTTATGTCTGGAATCAAGAAGTTTCAGAGAGGGAGGGAGGAAATCAGAGGTGGATGACATTGCTTCAGCGTTGGATTTGAAGAAGGTAAGATCTTTGAACAAGATTCATATTGTTCACGTTACTAAGGTTTTCTCGCGTCTTAAAGATGGTATTGTTAGGGATGGGCCAATTAAACTTAAAAAGATTTACAAAAGAAGGGCAATCAAGTCCAAAGGGTAGAGATCTGATTTTCTTGGAGGGGACGACAAGGTTTGAAGGTTCTGGAAGGGAAGTCGGATCTTTTGGTGATCCCTTCAGATGAGGAGTCAATTCAAAGTGGTGGTTTAGAGGAATCTAGGAAGGAAGATAAGGAGGAAGAGGTGGCATCAAAGGGGGAAGAGGCAAAGCAAGGAAGCATGGATTTAAAGAAGCTTGTTGATAGGGAGGTGGAGGTTGGCAAATCTTTAGGGCTGTTATTCTTGGTAGGTGAGGCTTTTGTTAGAAGGGCTCTTGAGGAGTTTGAAAGAAGTGGGAGGAAGAGAGTCTTTCAATATCATTAAGAGGGGATGGGGGAGAAATTTGGAACGGGGAAAAGATGGAACGGAAGATTTTTATGTTGATGAGGATTAATTGTCCAATGTTGGGCAATTTTTTTTGGAAATTTTGGACGACCTCATTTGGGGTTTCTGTTGCTGCTTAGTTTGTGTTATTGTGTGGGTGAGTTGTTCTTGGTGTGTAGTGCCTTCTTGGGACTGATGGAGGTTGTATCAAGTTTTTAATTTTCTTTAATAAATTTTTTCCTTTTACTTATCAAAAAAAAAGTCAGAGGTCGTGTAGACAAGGCAGAAATGTCTAAGGAGGGTTCTAGAGTGGAAGTTACTGAGAGTGAGTTGGTAGTGCAAAATAGAACTATAGTGGTTAATAAGGAGGGTGCTGATATTGAAGAAAGGATAGGGAAAGGAGTGGGTGTGGGATGCTCAAGAGGGGAGATTGAAGGACCAAAAGTTTGTAGAAGGGAAAGAAAGTATAGAACAAAGCCATTGTTTGTAGGAAGAGATTGATACTAGGGGTGGTGATGATGAAGATACTGATGAGGAGGTGGCTGTTGATGAAACTCATGAAATTGAAGGGGAATCTGAGAAGTGGTGAATACAAAAGTGGAGGTGAGTAAATCACTAGGTTTGATTTTTCTAGGTGGGGAGGAATTTGCCAGGAATACTTTTAAGGATTGGAAACAGATGGAGTTAATTCAATACAAGACGACTTAAAATTTCCAAATTTTAGTAGGAAGGTAACAAAGAGGAAGGAGAGGTGGTGGCAGATCATGTTTTTGAGAAGAACATTGTCTAGGAGTTAGAAAGGATCAATGATTAAGGATCTGAAGTATGATTAGAAGAATCCTAATGCTGTAAGGTGATTATTAGGCAGAAAAACTATAGAAGAGTTCAGGTTTCAAAAGTGTTTGCTTAACTCCATCCTTTGAGGTTGGTCCTATAAAGAAGGTGAAGAAGTCTAAGAAATTCTGTAAGAGAGGTGTTGGGATCGTATTCAATCCTTTGAAGAGCTTTGAGTAATTGAGTAAAATCTTATGTGGTGTTATGGTTGAGTTTTTGTCTCTCTGTAGTTCTGGTCTTATTGTTTGATTGGGGTCTGATGCTCTTGTTATTGGATTCGGTAGGTTGTGTTGTCTTTTGGGTGTTGTTTTTGAAGATGGGTTGTGGATTATTAAGTTTTGTTTCCTTTTCTCTCAGGTGACTTACTGGCCACCTTTCTCATATCTTCTTTTTTTTTTAATTTTATTTAATGACCAAAAAAAAATCAATTTACAAGATGAAATTGGTCATCGTACTCATATATAAAATGCACATTCACTTATACACAAATAAATTTCTGTTTTGTTTTTGGTTGAGTTGCAATTTTGATGTTTCTTCTATGACCGGACTGGCAATTTGTTGTGTTACCATGATCTTATTCCTTGAATGGATTGGCAAAACAGGATTCATGTAGCCGACCCCATAGTTGGGTTAAGGCATGGATGATGATGATGACTTTGATCTTATTCCCTTTTTCTTTATATTTGTAGGGTCATATGTCTTAGTGATAACAGGCTGCAAAAGTGTTGGGTCTTACTTGGGGCACCCAATCTTCAAAGTTACATCCATAAAGATTTTGCCATGTGACCATTCTCTAAAAAGTTCCTCAGTCGAACAGGTACTGAAGTTATGATTTTACTATTATTGGTTGCTTCTATTGTAGACTGGTTATTTTTAAACTGTCATTTGCACTACCTTTGACAGAAAAAGATGGAGACTGAGTTTTCTGTGCTCCTAAATGCTGCAGAAAGGACTTCTGGTTTGTACTTCTCCTATGACGTGAACTTAACACTCAGGTGCATTTTCTTTCTGGATTGTGTTGCATGTGTTCTATTCTGTACTCATAGATGAACTGTGGTTGACTATTTAGATGACAAAAAAATGCCACTATGAATTCTTGTTTTTTTTTCCCTGAAAAATGGTGACTTTCAATCAAAAAGAAAGAAGGGGGGATGTACAATACAACTCAAAACATCAAAGCATGAAGAAAAAAGAGATCCCTTCTAAATTACAAAAGCAATGAATTCCCACTATACAAAGAGTCCCTCTCCACCCCTGCTTTGGCCAACCCATCAGCACCACTATGTTCTTTCTTGTTTGGCTCTTGTTGATTGTCAGCTTGCGTATTTGGTGGCATTGAGCTTGTAACCCCCAAGTATTTGAAGTTGTTAGTGTTTGGACTACCCTCGTTGTTTGTTGTGCATGAAAAGGAAAAATATCAAGAAGGATAAGGATGATGTAAAGCCATCGAGACTAAGCATCAGATGACATCAAAACAGAGAAACCTATTTAGCACTGAAAGAAAGTGGCCAGTTACCTATGAAAATCAAATCTCACTATATAGGCCCTACATAAACGCCAATGTTTCTGACATTAATTAATTCCTTAAGCAAAATTTGATGTGTTTTTTTTATGGGAAATTGTTTAGACATATATTTTTGTTTTCTTTTATCTATTTTTTTGCTTGTTAGCATGCACCTTATTTTTTATTTATTTATTTTTTTGTATTGCAGCTCACAGCAGTTGCATAATTTGGGTGATGAGTTAAGGCGGCTTCCTCTTTGGAGACAAGTAAGTTCTTGCTTACATATTGACTTAATTGTTCACTGAGTTGTCTAATAGTAATAAAAAAGATTGCTGGCTTTCCAAATAAAGGGGACTAGTGTTTGGTTACACCTGAGTTTATGTACAAAGAATGGTTTTTCCATCTTTTTATTCGAGATATTGGTCCTTTTTAAATTTTAAATGTTATATATGTACAATAATATTCATCCTTACAAAATAAATGGCTGATCTGATTTATGTTATCATGCCTTTGAATTGTTGTTCTGTCACAGGCAGATCCTAGGTTTTTATGGAATAATTATATGTTGGAAATGCTCATAGAGAACAAGGTTAGATGTATATAAAGCTATCTCGTATTGAATAGGCCATTCAGTGTTTCATGGTTATAAACAAGTTGCTACTGACAACTGTTCATTTTGATGTGTGTGCAGCTTGATCCGTATTTGCTTCCTATTATCCAAGGGAGTATCCTTATGTTTTGGTTAGCTTTAGCATTTGCCAGCTATTTCCTTGATTTATTTCATTGCAATATATGGCTTTCTATTTGAAGTTACATCTTAACAGCCCATCAGCCTTTCAGAACTTTCAAGCAGCAATCGGCAAAGACACAATGGATGTTACTCTAATTGCAAGAAGATGCACAAGGAGAACTGGTAATTTCAGAATTTGAGCTTTGGTCTTCTTTGATTTTCTGTAGTGAACTTAGCTTTTTTTATCCCATAGGGATAGCACTTGGAAGGGTTTAGTGAATAACCAAAATTTCTTAAAAGATTCTGATGTAGGAAATCTTTCTGAAGTTTCAATCTCTCACTAATAATGAACAAGATAGGATAATGGATGAAGCTAAAGAAAGGAACAATAGAAGAAGCTACTTCAAGGATTCAATTAGTCACACTCCTCTTCTTGAATCAAGTGACAGTTATACCAATCTCAGTAAGTGGCCTTAAATGATACACACTAAAGAAGAATAACTTTTGAACACCATGCCCAAATAAAACAAAACAAAGAGTCCTTCAATTCCCAATAATCAATTGTGTCAAGTAAAAAGAGCTTCCATATTTTTTTAATGGTCCATAAGTAATTTCTTAATTAGGAAAAGGAAGAATAGAAAATACTCATAAAAAGGAAAAATAGAAAATAACGTGTATCAGAAAAATATCTTGACAGTTGATGTAGGAATGACTGCTCTGACACTAAATTGATATAAGCCTGATTATCTGATACCAAATTGATGTAGAACTGGCTATGGATCAATGATGAAGCTAGGAGGGTAATGATGGGTTAAGAAACATTTAGAGATGATTTTAGGACTAAAGAAACTCTTATGACTAGGACCAAGGTAAATAGAAAATAAAAAAAAAAATCTGAAGTCTAGGAATGGAATTTTTACTTTTTTAGTAAAACATTGTAAATTGTAATGATGTGTAGAATGGTAGATTAGGTTATTCTCGAATCACTTCCTTTGGGATAAACCCAAGAAACCTGAAATAAGGAACTGCAAAATTTCCAAAGAAAAGTGCTAGATGTTGCTTCTATCTTTTCTTGCTAAATTAGGTGCTGCTTCTATTGGGTGATTTCTGATCACCTTTCTTGTACCTTTCTTTTTCTTTTAAGAAAAAATTATTTTTACTATAAAAAAGTGATAAATGGACAGAAGAGAAAGGGATGGTTGATTTATTGCATAAATTCTTTACATATAGCACAAAAGTTTTGGACCTGCACATATTTGTAACTTGCTTGGTTGATGTTTAAACTCCAAATTCCATAATCTTGTGGCTTTTAGAATAGTAATTAAATAACCTATCTAGTGACATCAAAATCAAGGACCTTTTAACATTTCAAAAAAAAAAAAGGGAAGAGGAGCAAATTCTGACCATTCAAATTTAAGACTTGAGACATTCTTTCTCTTGCTTTGATTGGAGGCGCAAACAATTTACAAATAACTTGAATATTAGCTCCATGAAACCCCATATCAGATTCTCAAATCAATTTAACTGAACTAAGCCCTGCCCAAACTATAGGATGTCAGCTAAATGACAATTCAGGATCAATGTTTATGAAAGATGATCATCCAATCATCATGTTATGCAAAAATTCCATCCATTAGAGTGGTGAAAAAATCAAATTTTTGTTGAAACCCTAATGCTGAAATCTCATAGGAGAAAATTCTGGATTTTCTATTCTTGGATTGAATGGGTTTTGGACCATGAAAGATCCGATCTTTTGGAACAAGATTATGTGCATTACCTGATTTTGAAGTCCACAAATGCAGAATTCGATGTGGTGTTCACACCCATGCCAAATCCTCCTCAAATCATTGCAACTTTGATCTTGCAGTCTTGGATTCTTTCTTCAGAAGTTACAGCAGCAAAGGTCCGGCCTTTCTCAATATTTTGGGCAATATTTTTAATCCAAAACAAACCTAAAAGAGTGTTCGAAAGAGTGGATAAAAGGGTTGGTCGAATGGGGTTGAAAACCCTAGTCAAAACCTCTTACAAAGGTAGGACAAAATTCAGCAAGTAATGAGAGAATAGGATGCACCCGACCCCCATAGTTGTCAAGGTGACTAGGTGAGGATAGGCGACCATGGGGCGCCCAGGCGGCTAGGCGCCTAGGTGACACCTAGGCGATGGAATCTATAAATATATTAATTTATGGATTTCTATACTTCCTAAAGGACCTAAACTATTTTATAAGATATATTTGCTTACTAGCTACATATTACACTAAGCATAATCAATAAAATCTTTCATATAAGTATAATTTTCATGTGAAAACATAAAAATTAAACATCTGAATTAAAAGAAATAAGAAATCAAACAAGTGGGCTGATAAAAAAATATGCAATCAAGCAAGTAAACTAGTAAAGTGAGGGAAAAAGTCTACTAACATGGCATAAGAAAACAAATTAAAAGAATTAATCAATCCATAAGAAATCAACCTTATCATTAACAAATGGAAGAATAAGCACTACAACAAAAATAAAAATATTCATAAGAATTCAATACATACCTTGGTTGATGCTTGGTACTTTAAGAAATAATAAGATGAAATATAAAACTTGAAAGTCATTAAACCATTAAAAAAATAAAAAAAGCATAATAGCATATAATGAATAAGTATAAAACTAAACTATAAATCATCATTCATCTCCAGTTCTCCACAAGTCCACAAAAGATAAATATGAAGTTTAAAACTTCAAATGTATCATAGACAATACAATCCTTAAAGAAAATTCTCTATTCCTAATTAATTGGAGTGTCTAATAAGTAAGAACCACCAACACCTCCCTTGAATGCATCAATATCATTAGCACCATAATCAACATCTTCATCCTCCTCCTCCTCATCATCATCTTCTTCCTCATCTTCATTATCTTCCATATCATTGCCCCATATCTGCTCTTCTTCTTCTTCTTGAACAACACTTTTGCCTTTATCTTGTCTTCTAGACTCACCTCTCTCATGACCACCTCTACCTCTACCTTTACCTCTACTTGGACCTCCACTTGCATTTCCACGTCCATGTCCACTTCTCCTTGGCCTATTTGATCCTTCAAGGATTTTAGATGTCCCTAATGCTTCATCAACTTGAGTCCATGTAAGATCACACCCTTCATGGACCAAGTCATTTGAAGGGTCTTTCCCAGTCAACTACTCACTGGTTTCATCTACATCATCAAAGAAAATAGGGTCAAATTGCTTTGGATTTGCATGCCTTGTTGTAAATCTTCCTCGAAGGCGTTGGTTGTATTGAACAAATACAAGATCATTGAGTCTCTTTTGATCAAGCCTATTCCTCTTTTTTGTATGAATCTACATTCACAACAAAATAAGAAAAATTATAAAAATAAGCATCTTAAGTTCTTAACTTTCATAAATAATTTTATCACAAAACCAAACATTAGGTCCATTGCTTAGAACTTACATGCTCAAAAGTGCTCCCGTTGCGCTCACAAGTAGAAGAAGTGCATGTAAGACCTAATATGCATAATGCAATACGCCTAAGGTCTGGAACTCTGGGGGTGCAATGTCCATAGCTATGCCACCAATCAGCTACAAAATAGAAAAAATTAATTAAAACAATATAAATTTAAAATAACGGGAATAAAATATAAATATAAGTTTCAAGAAAAGAGAGCTTATATTACTTGGTTGCTTCGTTTCACGTTGCCTAATTGCCAATTCTTTAGAGAAAACACCACGAGTGTGTTTATATTCTTCCAACTGATGAGAGATATTGTCTTGAATTTCAATATCACTGACCATTCTCTCAATGCAATCTAGAAAGCCCATTTCAAACTTTCCAACCGATGCTTCATCTTGTGCTTTAGCCTTATAATAAAGGGCTGGATTAAGAAAAAAACCAGCAAGGTGCAACGAATGTTGCATCATATTAGTCCAACGCTTATCAAAAATGTCTAAAGGGAGTATAAGCCCATTTTAGACATTTTTGTAAAGTTAGAAAAGAGGTGGCGAACCTTGTGACTGCACATCGTACAAGATCTCTTCCATTTGGTTTTTCCCTCATGCGTGCAAGAAGAAGAGGATGCCTATAAATAAAAGTAGTCACTTGTCTTGCCTTGGCAATACAACTTTTTGTAGACCTCAATTCTCCAATGTCTTCCAACATAAGGTCTAAACAATGAGCAGCACAAGGAGTCCAAAAAAATTCCTGCTCTTCAATCTTAAAAGATCACCGACAACAACATAAGTAGAGTGGTTATCAGTAACCACTTGCACTACATACTCCTCCCCTATCTCCTCAACAACTTTATCAATCAACTCAAACAGAAAACTTGCATTATGGACTTCATTTGATGCATCAACTGATTTTAGAAAAAAAGTTCTTTCGGGAGAATTCACCAAAAATTTAATCAAAGATCTTTGCCTTTTATCAGTCCATCCATCAGACATGATGGTACAACCATAAGTCTTCCAAGAAGCCTCATACTCCTTGTACATTAGATTTGTCTTCTCAACCTCCCCTTTCAAGAGTGGCTCTCGTAACTCATGGTAACTTGGAGGTTTGTATCCGGACCCGAATTGTGCAGATGCTTCAACCATAACTTCAAAACTTTTCAACTTCACTGTATTGAAAGCAATCCCAGCTTGATAAAACCACTTTGCTACATATTTATGTACTTTTCTTCTTTCTTCCTTCTTCAAACGACTTTCAGTGCTTGTTTGAACCAATTGTCCTTTATGCCTTGTTTCAACAACTTCTTCTGGACTTGGTCTAACAAAACTATTCGTAGGTCCTCTGACATTTTCCTTCCTTTTTGGTGGAAGGGGGGAATTTGAAATTGGAGTGCTCCTACCACTTGAAATGGAGACACCTTTTATGGGCTGATTACTTTGATTGTTAGAACTCCTTTCAGATATAATCTGCTCCCATGCTCCACGATTATCTTCAACTGTAAAATCATCCAATGGTTTCTTCCTCTTATTCTTTTGCATATATTCTTGCATCTCCTTGGCAATACTTGCAGTAGTTTTGGGACATTTAGTCACATCCCCATAGCCCCCAATCAAATGTTGTTTTATCCTTTTTATTCCCCCTTTAACAACTTTACCACATAATGAGCATGAGACTGCATTTTTATCTTCTAAATCATGCCAAAATGCATATTTCCATGCAGGGTCCTTTGATT